GCTGTCCCGGGTTAAAGTAGAAACATCTCCTCAAACATGGAGGTGTGTGTGTGCGGAGCGGTTGTTTAACTGATTTCAGTATAAAAGTCTGAAAAGTCGATGTTAATGGAAACGTCTGCTGTCGTCAGGTGAAGGTAAAGGTCGAACAAAGAGAGAGAGAGAGAGAGAGAGAGGTTTGTTGATTCAGTAGAAAATAAATATTGATATCTCGGGGTAAAAATGACAAATATATTTTAACTTTGCTGCGGTTTGTACTCTGGAGGTCTTTGTGAAATTATAAAAGGCGTCTCTTCATGGCGAGGAGTCGGCGAATGTTTCTGTGGAATAAAAAGGAGAGGAGGTGCAGGGTGAGGAGAGGAGATGTGGTTCCTTTTCTTCTTCCTCCTCCTCCTCTTCTCGCCGTCTTTATACTGCGGCTGAAAAGAAAAAGCTGACAGACAATACGCCGCGGCCTTGGAGAGAACACATTACTGCCAGACAGACACAAACACAAACAGGAGACAAACAAGCCTTTCACACACACACACACACACACAGCATCAGGTGGAGGCAGGAAGAGCGAGGAGATTTAGTGACGGTCCGGCCTTCAAAGGTTGGAGCAGAGAGACGGTTCATAAAGAGATGACAAACTCTGTGTGTGTGTGTGTGCGTGTGTGTGTGTGTGTGTGTGTGTGTGTCCTCAGTCCCCACAGTACAGCTCAGGCGGCAGCTACGACAGCGTGAAGATGGACCTAAGCGCCGAGGACCTGACCACGGGGCGTCACTGCAGCCAGGTCGCCCAGGTCGACGACGATGACGATGACCACGACGACCACGACGACAACGACAAGATGAACGACACGGAGGGAGTGGATCCCGAGAGACTAAAGGCCTTCAACGTGAGTGAGAGGACAGAGCGGCGGTCAGAGCCGATCCGCCCGCTGGGATCAATAAGGTGTCTGCGTTATTCATAAAGAGGAAATATGGAGAAGCGGACCGACCCGTTCCCGAGGTCGTAAATCTGTGCAGACGCTCTAAAGGTCCTGAGACGGAGGGTTTTGATTGGCTCCTGACTTTATATCTGTTAGAATGAACAGCCAAGAAACTTAGGAGCGAGTTAACCCCGGATCTGACCACCCGGAACGATAACAGAAATATCTGCTAGAGAGACGTTTAGGGTTCATGATCATGGGGTAGTTGAGGAAGGTCAAGGTCAAGGTCAAGGTCAGTCTCCGCCCCGAGTTTGGACTTGTTGAGCTTTTAAAAAATCCATGTAAATACGGCGGTGAAGTTAGTTTCAGGTTGGATATATTTTCCTGTAAATACTGCGGTGAAGTTAGTTTCAGGTTGGATATATTTTCCTGTAAATACAGCGGTGAAGTTAGTTTCAGGTTGGATATATTTTCCTGTAAATACGGCGGTGAAGTTTGTTTCAGGTTGGATATATTTTCCTGTAAATACGGCGGTGAAGTTAGTTTCAGGTTGGATATCTGACGGACATTCTCTGAGGATCTACCGGTGTCTTCTCACTCTCCATAACCGGGAATAACAACAGCAGCGCGGTTAAATCTACTCGACACCCTCATTGTCAACGTCGGTGTTGAATAAGGGACCGTCAATAAATTACCGGTTGATGTTCTCAGAAAAGGCTGTTTTCCTTCAATAGCTTCATGTCATGTGACCAAAAGACCTAAAATTGATTTTAAATTATAGTACTTAAGTGGACTAACATTATTGATCAGTTTTCATTGATCCCCTAAAGTTCTTTTTGTGCTCCTAAGTTGAAAAAAGTTCGTGGTTAACAGGCTGATCTTCTCATCACTTCCTGTGCTGTATTAATTCCATCCTAGGGTGACCGTATGTCCTCTTTTATCTTCTTGATGAGTTCATTAAATCCTTCAAACGTCTGTGGTTTTGTATGGAAGTTTGGAGTTTGTGTCACTTGGACTCACTGAGTTAGAAGCGTGTAAAAAACTCTCAAAACCCCTTGTAGTCCTGTCCTCTTTTCGCAGATTCAGAATATCGTCACCCTTCTCTATCCAGAAACCTCCCCTCATCTCAGTTCTCCTCTTGCAGATGTTTGTGCGTCTGTTTGTGGACGAGAACCTGGACCGGATGGTTCCCATCTCCAAACAGCCCAAGGAGAAGATCCAGGCCATCATCGAGTCCTGCAGCAGACAGTTCCCAGAATTCCAGGAACGCGCCCGGAAGCGCATCCGCACCTACCTCAAATCCTGCCGACGCATGAAGAAGAACGGCATGGAGGTACTCTCCACAGCTCCGGTCCAGATTCAGTCTCTTTTGTTTGGTTTTATTTCAGGTCCTTGTTCTCCGAGGATTCTGGGATTTGGATCTATCGTCCGTACCAACACCAGAGATCTATATTTTTACCTGTGGTGTTTTTTTCAGACAGAATACGCCGCAGTTTTTCCTTGGAGCAGCAGAATAATTATCCTCTTTAGTGAAAAGATGATCAAGTGTTCCTGTAAAAAGGCTGTAACTATAGAAACCACATGCTCCACCAGTTCGTCTATTTCCCGGTCTGCAGATGTGACGGCCTGCAGAACGTCTTCATTATAAAAAGTCGTTTTCAAACTGCAGCCGCATATCTTTACAGTCAGACAGAAACTGTGATGAACGGGCTCGAATCCACACCTGTGAGCAGGTCGTCTGTTTTATAACACAACAGCGTGAAGCAGCAGGGCGTGTGCGTCCACGGAGATAATGAATACACAATAATATTTACTGTAATTAAAGGATAATGAGGGGATTTAACAAAGAGCTTCATGTGGAGATGAGCTGAACTGAGGAGTATCGAAATATCTAATCCTCTTATCCTCGTTTGGAACAGAAGAAAAGCTTAAATCGTTCTTTCTCAGGTCTATTTTTGTTCATTTATTTAAATTTATAAACTCGATTCTCACGTCACTCTGCAGAGAAGTCAACGCTGCTCTGTTTTTATTCGACTTCTGCCACTTCAGCTGCTTTTTCACCCTAAAAACGAGCAGAAAGAGACTCTGTTCCTGTTATTGAAAGGTCTCTGCTGCCCCCTAGTGTTGAAAAGTGATGCTGCACCCTCCAAAGACTGAAACTGAAGACACTTTATTAAAAGTCCAGGAAACGTTTTAATGACCCGATGATTCGATGTTTCTCCGCAGACTCGTCCGACTCCACCTCACCTCACCTCAGCCATGGCTGAGAACATCCTCGCCGCCGCCTGTGAGAGCGAATCACGTAACGCCGCGAAGAGGATGCGCCTCGAAGCTTATCACGTGAGTTCTGAGTCGTCTGGTTTGTAGGTTTGGGTTTTAGGATTTGCTCTGGAGTCTGCTGAGCGGCGGTCCCAGGAGTCTGTTCTTGTGTCTCATTGACCATGTTATGATTTAAAGTCACACTCCTGTTTCCTGTTTCCTGTTTCCTGTTTCCTGTTTCCCTCCGTCAGGATGATCAGATCTCTCTGGACAAGCCGTCCAGCGGCGGCGGAGGTCTGAGGGAGCCGGCGTCCCTCGCTCACTCCGCCTACTCCCTGGCCGCTTCCGCCTTCTCCTCCCAGGACACCCAGATCTACATCAACGGGGCCGGACTCAGCTACGGTTACCGCGGTTACCCAGGTCTGGGCGCTGCCATACAACATCCTGTTTCCCTGACGACCGGATCTGCTGCTCAGAGTAACGGTGAGTGAGGAAGTGATTTTAGACTTTATTGATTTTGATTCCATCGATGTTTTATCAGGTTTCCTCTTTAACTCGAGTTTGTGGGCGTGGTTTTGCGTCCACGCGGTGACCTCCACTCCAGAGTCACGCCTGTTTTTCTCCTTCCTCCTCTCAGGCCCCACAGACCTCAGCATGAAGTCCCTCACCTCCGCCAACCTCAGTAACTCCTCCTCCACCTCCACCAACAACAGCCTGGGCGGGCGCGGGAGCGGGGGCGCGGGAGGGGGCGGGGCGTCGACCCAGCTCAGCCAACCGGAGATCACGGCCGTGCGTCAGCTGATCGCCGGGTACCGGGAGTCGGCCGCCTTCCTGCTTCGCTCCGCGGACGAGCTGGAGAACCTGATCCTGCAGCAGAACTGATGGAGAGACACACACACTTACACACACACTTACACACACCTACACACACACACACACACTTACACACACACACACTTCCCCAGTGCGTTTGTTTCGTGTTCATCGGCCTCCCTGCTCCTCCTCACTCTCCTGACTCCCTCTTGTTTTCGCTCCTCAGATTCTCCGTTCGCCTTTTTTAGGAACTTCTTTTTGTTTCTTTTGGGAGTAAAAACGGGAAACTGGGACCACCTGACCCCAAAACAATCCCCCCCAATCATCCCCACACGACCTCGACTTTATATCTGTGTCCGAGGAGGAGGAGGAGGAGGAGGAGGAGAAAAACGGAAGAAAAAAGGAGCAGAGCGTTTGGACTCATGAGGAGTCCGTCCCTCTCCTCTCCTCTCCTGACGCTCCTCACAATCAGCTCTTCACGGAGCGACAGAGCGAGGAGGAGGAGGAGGAGGAGGAGGAGGAGGAGGAGTTTGTTTCTTCTGCTGCTGTGATTTCAGACAGAAAAAGACGGTTAGTTTCCTGTCGGGGGCGGAGTCTGATCGACGTCGAGGTTTGAAGAAGAGGAAAAACGACTCCCTGATTTTCGTACTGAAGACGTTTGTTAAAAACTCTGAATGAAAGTTTGATTTTGTTTCCAGGGAGAATTTTCTGTTTCTGTTTTCATGTGTTTATTTCCCAAGTGACTGAAAGAAGAAAAAGCGTTTCGACTTATCGGAAAAGAAGGAAGCACTAAAACACGATAAAGACTCCGAGGAGACGGAAAAACGACGGACGCTGAAAAAAAGAAAACGGAGGAGAGGAACTTTTTCGTGCTCGCTTGTATATAAGCTCTCTGTGTCCTTTAGCACTTTCCCCCTCCTCACCCTTTACCTCCCCCCTCCTCTGTCCTCCTCCTCCTCCTCACCCCTCCTTTTTTACCCAGGGAGCAACTTACGCTACTTATGCATCCAGGACGCCATGTTGACCACCAGGAAATACCTCAAACCAGACCTGCCAACGCCATCTACTGCTCCTCACACACACACACTCTTACACACTCTCACACACTCTGATAGGAGGATGGTAACATTCCCACCTGAAGCCAGTTTACTTTCACACCTGATGTCTTCAAGGAGGCGGGGTTTGGGGGTTTGGGGGCGGGGCTTAATTGCGCAAAAAGACCTGAAAGCATTTGGAGAAACTTTTCAAACACTGAGAACTTTTCTTTCGTCCGTGTGTGTGTGTGTGTGTGTGTGTGTGTGTGTGTGTGTGTGTGTGTGTGTGTGTGTGTGTGTGTGTGTGTGTGTGTGTGTGTGTTTATCACTGGTGGAAACTTTACCTCCCACTTCTACTTTTTACAAATGTAGATCGAACGCCAACAAAACCTCAGCTTCTTCTTTCTGTTTCACCTCCTCCTCTTCCTCCTCTTCCTCCTCTTCCTCTCTTCTTCTTCTTCTCCTTCTTCTTCCCTCCATTGGACCTACTCTTCAGCTCTTCTTCGTTGGACCTAAACCTCCTCCTCTTGCTCCCCCTCTGGACAGGAGGAGGACTGCTCTGTCTTACTGTGTGTGTCTGTTAAACTCTGAGATGGCCATTGTTCCTCTTGTTGTTGTTGTTGTTCTTCTTCTTACGATGATGATGATGATGATGATGATGATGATGATGATGATGATGATGATGATGATGAACTCTCATGTTGCTGCTGCTATATGAAAAACCGGACCTTCTGCCATAGACCTGAAACCTCAACAAAGCCGGGCGTTAGCGAGCCGCAGTGCCCCGAGAAAACCCAACCAACCAACGGACCGACCGACCGACCGACCTCAGAGAGCAGACAAGGTCAGAGAAGGTCAGGAGGGCGCGGCGGGAACAAAACGCTCCCCGCCGTCCTCTCTCTCTCTCTCTCTCTCTCACGCCTGCTCTCCCTCACTGGTTGGTTAGTTCTTAGTTTTTTTGCTTCACAGGGCTTAACTTCATGTTCGTGACTCTCTAACTGTGAATCCTCTCAGCCTTGTTTCTTTCTTTGTTTCACACGAAAAACACGAAAAACAGACCTGAGTGAACACTCGGGGTGAAAGGACAGAAACAGGAGCAGATCACCACAGAAGAAGAAAAATGATGTTTTTATTTTTGGTTATCTTGTTGGTCAAGAACGAGAATCTTTGAGACAGAAAAAGTTTTTTGCAAAGAGTTCGAGGAAAAGAGAAACACCACTCCCAGGTCTGTCGAAAAACTTCGTATTTATCCTTTACTGACATCTGTTCAAACCCTCGTTTTGTGGGTGTTACTTTTTACACAGCTATGAAGTCACGAAACGACCTCGAAGTTTTAGATTTACAGGAAACATCAGCTGAGATTCTAATCCAGAGAATAAAAAGCTCATCTGTGTCCGTTCCAGGAAATAGTCCCGCTCTAAACCCTCTGACGCGTTGTTGTTTTTAGAGACGAATCACGCTTATGATTCGGCGTCAGAGCGGCGGGTTTTTGCACCTCTCAGACAGCTCAGTATTTGACCGGCGTGGCGAGGTTTCTCAGGCTGTATCAGAGCACGCCTCGGTGAACCTCATGAACATCTGAGTCAGTGGAGCAGCTCCCCCTCAGGGTCCTCCACCAGAGAGCTCTCATCCTGGACTCACCGCCGCGTTTCTGAGCGACTGAACGTCGAGGTTGAGAGGACCGCAGACTCAGATTTTAGATCAGTGGACGACTTTTGGAGATCTGAGGAGTGGTGTTCATCTTCTCATCAAACTGTTTGCAGGAAATGAAACCCGTGACCTCGGTTTTGTCTCCTGGTGAACTCGCCAACAGTTCCTGAGGTCAGTTTGTGTTTGTATTCCTCCGGCCTGATCTCCTCCTCCTGTGGTTCCTCCTCCTCCGTTTCACACATTTGCTCCTTTTTTGCACACTGAGCGAAGCAACAGTCATCTGTGATTAGAGGGAGGGGCTCTCCCGAGCGTGTATGCATGTTTCCTCGGAGGGCGCCGCCCCGCTGACTTGCACTGCTTTAGTGAGACGTGAGCAGAGAGCGAGGCGTGGTGTTTGTTTGTTTATTTGAGTTTATTTTGCGATGCAGTTGATAATCATCTTTGACGGTTTGTGACGGACAGTTTGTGAGACTACAGAGCAGAGAAAACGTGAAGCCATTAATTCATCCGTTCATATTAAACCTGTGAACTCCAGTTTAAGAAATGTTCAAAATGTAAATGATTTCGTTGATTACTAATTAGATGTGGAAATGTCAAAGTTTTTGTTTCTTCTTGATGCCACAAAATATGAGAAATATGCAAAAAAAAATACGACAAAAGTTGGAGAGACGGAGGAGAGAAGGAGGGAAGAGGATGGAGGTGGAAACACGTTTGAGCCGAGCGGCTGTCATGACCTGTCCTCAAAAAGGAAGAAAAAACCGAGTGTGTGAGCGAGCGCACTCTGGGCCAATCAGATTTCTTCTTCTCACTCCCACATGATCCCTGCGCTCCGTCCTTCTCTCCTCCTCTTCGACCCTCCTCACTGTGCTCTCACATCCTGCCCACGCTCTGGTTCGATCCAGGCATGCTCCATCGATCTCAGATGGTTTCTGCTCGTTGATCCTCGCTCTGCTTCGTCTGAGGGACCCGAGTCACGACTCAAAGATCCACTTTAGTCCTAAACGGCCGAGGCAAACCTGCAACGATGATGAGTTTTTCCGAGCAAAATGAAGATTATTTCTAAGTTTATGATCGGGTCGTCTTATTCTGGAGGACTACAGTTTAGCCTCCACAGCCCGGCTCCACATATTGTCCAGAATCGTTCATGTTCTGTCGTCTAAATCATAAAAAACTGGACCCAGGTTGCACCAAATATTTGATAAGGGCCTGTGTCCACCGACAGCATCTGTCTCCATATTAAATCAAAGCAGTTCAGTGTTAAAGGCCCTCAGCATCCCTAAACACCATTGCAGTCTTTATATTACTGGCCAATCAAAATTAAAAAGGGGAGGGGCTTGTTTTATTAACGTTGTCGACAACAGTCGTCTTATTTTGAGGTTTTAGCGGCTGCTAACACTCCATCCTGACTCCGTCAGTGTTTTTCTTTTATTTCTCGTTCAGTAAATCTAAATGATGTAAATATGAAGCACACAGAAACTTTAATTAAACAGATTTTATTAAGTGCTGCGATGTGACGACTGGACCTACCAAGAGTAACGCTGCGGGATTCATCGACTTCTGTGATTTAGTATTGGGGTGTGGGTGGTTCTGTTGTGAAAACGCTGCTGGTGGACACAGGCCCTCAAACCTGCTGCCATATTAGTTTGATTAATATTCTCCTCATTTGAAGAAAACACGTCCCAGAGTTCCTCAGACTGGAGTGGGTCCGCTGTCGGGAGTCCGGTCCCTCAGATCGAAGCAGAGGAAGTGGATTTTTGATAACCCGGTCGGTTCTTGTTAAAAACTGATTGTTGCTTAAACTTGAAGAAAGAGTTTTTATTGGTTTAGTTAAACTCACTCTTGATCTGATGTATAAAGTGATTTAGCTTCAGTTCCCCCTGGATTAGTAAATAAGAAGCTCTTTTTCTCCTCCTTCTCCTCCTCCTCCTCCTCCTCTCTCCTCTCTCTCGATCGTTTCTGATCTGCGTTTTATTTTGAAGGAATAAGTCATCTCAACAAACTCCGAGAGCCGATGAGATCGTCTGAGAAAGTACCACAAGGAAACTAAAAGTGCCCAGACAAATACGACGTGATAATCAAGAAGCCCGCCACAGGTGAAAAGTGGGGCGGGGCTTTGGGCTTTTCAGACGCTCTCATTGGTTCAAAATCAACCTCAGAAAAAAAAGCCAGACAAAAAAAAAAAAAACACCAACAGCTGTGTAAAAAAAGCAAATGACAATCTTCAGAAAGGTGTAATTTGCTCACTGTTTCCTCCGTCCAGAGCGGGAGAATAATCCGGGTGTTTAATCAGAGCCTTCGTCCTCCTCCTCCTCCTCCTCCTCCTCTTCTTCTTCTTCTCGCTGTTAACAAAACGCCATCGACACGTTTCTACCTGGTTTCTATTTTTTAGGACGTCGAGATTCTTCTTCAGGTTATCATTTTATAAATCGATTTTCTAAACTTTTGTACGTCTGTTTCTCTCTCTTTGCCTCAACTGCACATTCCAAACATGGATGTCAACCAGCGGCAGACCCCACCGGCATCATGGGAAATTTCATCAACCGCGTGTTTAGCTTCGGTGTCTGAACGCAGGATCACAAGAGAAGAGAAATCTGAGCTTCACGTTAACCTTTACTGTCGGAGGACTGAAGAGCTCGGCGGGTTTAATCCCTGACGAGTGTTTCCTCTCTTCTTAAAGGTCACGTGGACACGCGGTCATGATGCGGCGAACAGCTTCGACAGAAAGGTCGCGGTATTTCTCTGACCCTCAGACTTCACAGAGGTGCAGACTTCAGACCTCTGATCGTGTTTTAGTCTCTGTTAAAGCTGCTCTGAGTGTTTTAAACTCCAAACGAGACACAACGATCGTCTTTTTAGGAACTTTTCTGGTTGGAAAATCTTTAATTTCAACATTTTTATCAATATTAGGAGCCAATCAGTCACAAACTCGAGATCGAGAGTTCAGCACCTGAGACATATTTGACAAAACTTTAAAAATATTTAATTTATTTTTCTTTTATTCATTAATCGATTTTGTTCTTGTGTTTGTTCGTTCAATTAGAATCTGAGGCAGCAGCGACTTCGTTCAGCGTTCATTAAAACTCACCGATAAACACTGTAAACTGTTTAAAACGCAGATGCTGTCTCTGTAAAGTCACCTGTGGTCTGCCTCAAGTGGACACTCGAGGAACTGCAGTTTTTACATTTCCAAATTAGCTTCATTTGAAGTTTCAGATCGATGAATATGTAACAGCAGAGTCGTAAAAAACTACAATATCAGTTTTAAACTATTTAGTGAATCAGTTTATCAAAGTTTTACAGAAACTGAATATTTGAAGTCCTTAAATCTTAATTTCTTTTGTTCCTTTTCCTGATTTATGAGCAAAAACTTCATATTTTTGAGTAAATCGTCCGATAGTTCAACAACCTGAAAGAGAGTCGCAGCTTCAACAGGGAAATCTTCTTTTAGTCGCGGTCGATCCTCTGAGTGTAAAACTACATATCAGGAAGAGTAAATGATTCAGAGGGTTCAGTAAATGTAAATGGACTTCTTGGTGCCGGTCGGGTCTCTGCAAACACTCACACACTCCTTAAACCGGTTGGGTCAGATGTACAGATCAACACACACACACACACACACACACACACACACACACACACACACACACACACACTCTCGTTTTTAAGAAAAGAAGTGAGGAGATAAACGAATAAACGTTTTATTTTGGTATCAGAGCGTTCAGCCGCTTCACTTTCTTTCTTTCTTTCTCCTCCTTCTCAGAGGTGCTTCAGATTCCTTTATTCCTTTATTTTTTCAGGGATGACTCTTTTCTTTCCTCTTTTCTCTCTCTCTGTCTTTTCCTGACTTTGTTCCGGACTCTTGATTGTGTTGATTCCTCCTCCGCCGGGCCTTCTTCGTACCTTACAGTAAACCAATGTGAAACCTGTTTTCTCCTCATGATTGGACTCAGTGGAAGTGTGATGTTTACATGTACAGATTTTTGAGATTCGTTCTGATTTCTTTCGTTTGATTCCTCTCATCTTTCTTTCTCTCTCCTTCCCCCCTCCTCTCTCTCTCTCTCTCTCTCTCTCTCTCTTCCTCACACACTGAAGGGAAATGGGACTGCGTCTGAAAACAATTATCACCTTTTCACACATTAGCCTACCGCGTTCGGGGACGTTTGACGCGTTTAGATTTCAGTCGTCGTTTTTCTTCATCAAACTCTTTTTTTTTTCGTAGTTTTTTTGAACAGCTAGCATCCGTCCGCGCTTGGTGAGGAAACTTCGTACGACTGAAATAAAAAGAGCGAAACGTCCCCGATCGTTTCGGAGGGGGAGGGGGTCGAGCTGTCCGTTCACTTGGCTCCGATTTAGGGGGCCGACCTTTGACCTCTTGGCTAACTCCACAGCACACAGAATCACAGTGGGGCCACAGCGACCCTCCACTGGTGTGAGCGGGGTCCTCAGTGAATGATAAGCCATGACAGACCCTGTGTGCGGGGTCTTTAGTCTATTAGTATATTTAGCAAAAGTTTAAACTGCAGAAGACAAAAACTCAACCTCAGGAAAAAAAAAAGGACATCACTTTTGTAAAAACACGTCTAACTGAAGGCCCATTTCCCTCTCTCTTTGATACCATATAAATTATATCAGAAATTCTTTTTATATTTATTGTGTTATATATAACAGTGGATACCTTTTTTCCAGTACCTGTGGCTAAATATTTTGATTCTTTAGAAAAGTGTTGATAATATATGTGAAGCAACTTAAACGATCGAGGAAAAAAAAGTGAAAAAAAAAAAAGAGATCTAGGGTTATTTTTTGTTTGTTTGTTGACGCCGTTGGAGGCGCGGTACGGGCGCGTTTGTTTTGCCCACCAACGAGAACATATCACTCTGGTCCATGACGAAGAAACCAATGATCGAAAAAACTGAGCTTTCTTTTGTGTGATGTCACTGCTAAGGCTGAAATGTCTCTGGAATTAAAAAAAAAAAATTGTGACCATTTAGTTTTTTTGTTTTTTTTGTTTTCTCCCGAGCTGTACGTCACAAAGCTAAATATACTAATAAAACGGTGTGCTATCTATGGAAGCGAGCGCCGCCTCTTCTTTCTGAGTTTTCCATGTTCGTAGTTTTGTCTGATGTGTGCACGATACACCAAAAAGTGAAGTCAAAAGTTTTAGAGAGCTCCCTCTGGTGGCAGGCTGCAGTATGCATGCAAAAACAGACAGTAGGTTTACATGCAGGGTTAAGTGTTGTCATGGTTTTAGCCCTGTACTGTCACCCCATATTTCCACCTTCATCCTGATCGTCTCCTAAATGGTCGTATCCTCCGATCGTAGCTGATCGTAACCATTCAAGTTAACGTGTCAATTTACACCGACTTCTTTCCGTTCCTCTGCGGATCGCCGGACTCCTCAGCTGATCACAAGAGTTCTATTTTTTCTGGACGCCGGAGCATGGCGGATAAATTCAGCACAGATTAACCCGTGCTGGAAAGGAAGTCGGGCACAGACACAAAATAAAACATCCTGCTTCTTTTCAAAATAAAACACTGTGTTTCAGGAGGATCGTATTTCACACCATGCAAACGGGCGGAGACGAACAAGTGAAAGGTTTTTAGACGTCATTTCACCCCGATGACACCATGGATGAGGAGATGCTGATTCTAGAAGTCTAGAAGTAGATTTCCTCCTCTGGAAGAACACGATCTACTGCTTATATATCTTTAGACTCTGTGGAATTTGGTGGACGGCAAATGTCGCTGTCGTTTCGAATCAGAGTCGCTCCAGATGTGGTGAAAATTGGGGGTAACTTTCTATTTAAATGCTGGAGGAAAAGTTTAAATTCAAACTGTTCAAACCCAGAAACACAGAACATGAGAGCATCAGGCTGTATCCTCCAGCAGAGGGCGCCCTCATTGTTATCAGGCCAGTCTGTCTCCTCTTGACCTCAGGGATGTTATTCCACACAAATGGAGGTCACACCGAGAGACAATAACGACACTAAGGATGAAAATAAAAAACAGAGAAAGTTAACGTGAAACAAACTGATGCAATAAATAAGTTTTTTAACAGCGTGTAAATATAATGAATCCGTACGTTTACATGCTGTTCAGAAAACTCTGTGTTCTCCGTTTGTCTCCAATAACAGTTTAATTATAGAGGATAATAATCCTCTAAAAGGAGATCCAGAGTTCTGCTGAAGTGATGGTATCTCTACTGTAACCGCTCGTCTGGATCTAAATGTCTCTGCGGTAATGACGGGTAATTGGATCTCAGTTTTAAAGCTTCATTTGCAAATAAACTCCCTCATTAGACTTTAACAATAATGACACCAAACTGAGAAACACAGAGAGAAGCAGGAAAAGTTGGTACAGAGGACGAGGGGATCACAGATCACAGACCGCACTGATGTCTCCTCTGACTGACTCTGAACATGAAGCTCTAATCGCATTTATTCAACGTTTTGATTCATTTTTATCGTGATTTTACCTCAAAAGTTAGAATCAAACAGGAAAAGAGCAAAACTCCTCGGAAGTCTGGTGTTAAATCTCGGTTAAAATCTGCAGAAGCAGCACATGCAGTGAATCTGAACCCCTGAATTAAATTAAAACATGAAGCCCCTCCATCTCAGCTGAGCTCAGAGTTAACCTGATCCTGATTCTGATGCATCTTCAGTCTCTGGATCTTATTTATCTGTGCAGGACTTGACGTCTTGGATTCTCTTGTTTTTCATTTTAGTCGACAGTCAAAAATAAAAAACTTCTAAAGGATGAAAATCTGTTTCTTCTTTCTCTCCCTGTCGTACTTTTTCAGTTTAAGTTAAAAAAAAACGTCCTCTTTCTCTCAGACCTCCTTTCATCAGAGGTTTCTGATGTAACTGAGGCTTACCGAGTCGGCGTGTACAGTAAGAACAAAAATCCAGACTTTCACAGTCGCTGCTGTTTCAGCTGCAGATTAAGATTAGAGTGAAACGCTTTCATGTGGGATTTGAACCAGTTTGAGTCTTAAAACTTTGATCAAAAGGAAATCTGAGTCTGCGACACGTCAAAGATAGACTTTTATTTACTGTGCTAAAAGAAAGAATATTGATTATAACTGATCAGGACTGTGACAAGAAATCCACAAACTGAGGTGTTTCTGTTTGTTTCCCCTCGTCTGTTTGTCTTTGTGGACTTCAGGGTTTTTCTCTGTTGAAATATTAAAAGCAGGAGCTGTAAATCAGCCCAGAGCAGCAGCATAAATCTCACCCTCCCTCTGCTGCTGTTTGCTGTTCTGTTACAACATAATTTACAGCAGGTGTGTGCAGCCGTGCAGCGAGCAGAGCCAAAGAGCGGAAGAAACCATCACCTCAACCACCTCCAGACTGAAATTTACAACATCAGGCCCCAAAAAGGAGCGACTGAAACACAAAGGCGTTAAATGACTCCTCTCCTGCTGCGGTTTATGATCCCGTCTCTCTTATGGTCCTCTTGGGTTCGTGTCCCCCTCATTCAGAGCTGAAATCCATCGAGGTTCTCGGTTGAGAAACTTCATGATTTAAAGATCTGAGAGGAAGTTCCTGAGCTGCTGCATCATCATCATCAGCATGTGGCCTCAGTTGATTCTGGGTCTTTCTTTGTGTCGGAGGAGAAATAATTTATTAGTTTCCTGTTCTCTGTTTCTGCAGTAATGATGCAGAAAAGAAGCAGGAGGTAGAGCACAGAGGGAGGGGAGATATGAGGGCCGCAGTCATTAGACACCACTGTAATGTAAAGGCAGAGGAGGGTCCAGATTGGAGTGGAGAAGTTTGAAGAGGTTTCTGATGCATGCAAGAATCTACAAGTCATCTATGAGTGACTGATGTCCTTTTAAAGATGATCAACTTTTTAAAAATGTAAAATATTCTTAAAAAACCATCAACAGCTCAAAAACTTTGAATGAGTATTAATCATATGAACAGTAGAGTTTGGCTCAGATTACATCCAGGTAAGAGTTTGAGAATCTAATGTGCGTGTAGAAGGTGGAGAAAACACCAGGAAAGTAAAAATGAATATTTAAAGTGTTGCTCCCATAAAAACGAGGATTATTGAACATCTTTACATGATGAGAAGGATAAATAAAATAAGAAAAATTGTAATAATAATAATAATAATAATAATAATAAATATGATAAAAAGAATTATAATAATAGCACTGATGATAAAAAGAAAAACAAATAAAAAATAAATAAGAAAATTGTTTAATAATAATTACAATAATAATAATAAATATGATAAAAATAATAACGCTTATTTTTATAATAATAGTAACAATAGTAAATAATAATTATAATAATAAAATTAATAACAATAATAATAATAAAAGTCATAATGATAACGATAAAAATGATAATAATAACAATAATAATGATTTTTATATAAATAATAATTATAAAACGTACAATGCATCTACTACTACTCCTCCTACTCATAATAATAATAATAATAATAATAATAATAATTAGCAGAAAAATATGAATTTCATTTAAAAAGAAGACTGGAAGTGCAAAAGTCTCACAAAGAAAAATTAAAATTAATAATATTGATTTCAAACTCAAATACACGTGATGCCCCAGACTGTAAATATGTGATAAAAGTTTTTTATTATTCAGTAAAGGAACAACATGAGGAGGAGTCTGACATTTAAGAGTCTGAGAGGAAAGAGTGTTTAACAAACACAGAGTCTGCTGGAACCACGTGACCTTCAGGGACAGAAATACACACACACACACACACACACACACACACACACACACACACACACACACACACACATTATTCATATTCTCTCTCTCTCTCTCTCTCTCTCTCTCTCTCAGTCTCCTCCCCCCTCCCCTCAGCGCGCAGGTGTGTGAGCAGCAGGAGATGAGCGGAGCGCCAAACCCAAACTTTTTTACGCACCTCCACCTCTCCACCTCCACCTCCACCTCCACCTCCCTCCTTCTGCGGATGAACACCTGAGCGTGCACCACCTCTGCAGCCCTCTCCCTTTGTTTACTCTCGGATTACTATGGATTAACATTTTCTTCGGGGAGCCATGCTCGCGTGCTCGGTTCACCCTGGGTCGTGCCGCCGAGTCCTCGCGGGGAACAGATCCGACTTGGATGCCCTCCATTCCCGTTTCCGCATTCCCGCCGCCGCCGTGCGCACTGCAGGCGTGGAGCTGGGATCCATGATCTGAACAGAACAAACCGGTTCCTCCGGCTGGTCGAGCCCTCTGCTGCTGCTGCTGCTGTCACTGCGTTATGTTTCCAGCCGGGGGAGGAAGACTTGAGGCTGTGAGAGAGGCCGTTTTCAGCGCACTGACGGAGTCTGGACCGGGCTGTATCGATCACTGATTGAGTCTGGATTAACCCCACCGCCGCGCACCTTCATGTCCCGGGATGGAGAGCTGCTGCCGCTCCTGTATGCCGTGTCTGGACCGGCTCTGGAACTACATTTGGCCGGACTTTCGCTACCCGAACGTCCCGAACAACAACCACATCATCGTCAACCCGGCGGCGCACGCGGCGGAGATCCGCACCGTGTCCGGAGACATCCGCGTCCCGTCGCCCAAGAAGCGGCCGGTGCAGCTGTACGCCGCGCTCTTCGACTTCGAGGCCCGCAGCGACGACGAGCTGACGGTGAAGGAGGGAGACAAGCTGTCGGTGATCGAGAAGAGGGGGGAGTACGTGCTGGCCAAGAAGCTGACCGGGTCCCTGGAGTCCGGACTGATCCCGGCCAACTACGTGGCTCTGCTGCAGGACGAGTTCGCCAAACACAAGTGAGTGTCCACGAACATCTGCTGCTGCTGGGTCAGGGGGGACTGGTCCTGGATCTGCTGACTGAGACATGAGAGACCCTTTAAAAGATCACCTACATCTAAAGAGAGAGATTCAGGGGACAGGAGCTCTGAGGGTTTTGGTGTTTCTCTGAATTTAGAGCAAAACTGGGAAAGGGTCTCTAAGAGGAAATCTGCCAGACCCCCCAAAACTGATCTGTTGACCGAGGTTTGACCTTTTATCAGACACCTGAGACCTGGGGTCCAAATGTCTCTGAGGACAACAGTGAAAAGTCTCAGTCTGGTTATCAGCAGAGATCCTGATCTGATCTGACCTTATATAACCTGTTTTTCTTCAGCTGAAGCCTCTTAGTTCAACAACAATAAAACATTTCCAGAAAAAACCTCAAAGTCCAGAAGAAAAGAGAGAACTAAATATTGAATTATTACACAAAAGACGGTCAAAGTAATCAGATGTTTTAGAACAAAAGGAAACAAAATAAACTTGGTGAGAAAATTCAGGTTTTTAAACTGAAACAACAGAAACTTAACGCCATCCTCTCTCTTCAATATAAATATAAACCACTACTTTGACAGAGTATTTATATATGCATTCAGATTTATTTAGATTATTTTTGATTGTTAGATAAATATCTGAAACCAAAGAAGATATTTGATAGAATAAACTGACGCCTCAATGAAGAACAGAAGTTTAAAGGTTTAAAGTGTTAAATTATGAAAAAAGGTGAATTTATTTAAGAGTTATCACCTACTCTCTTCCAGCAGCCACTTGTTTGACCTCAGGCCAGTCCATTACGGACTACAGCGGGGTGCCGCAGCTCAAGGAAGAACATTTATGATCATTTCTTCATCATTTCCTTGAAGTAATAATCACCATATTAATCATTTTACAGACGCGGTAGTTCTTCTGTCTTAGCGTCTCGGTCTGATTGTATTTCCATGAAGAAATGATCATAAATGTTCTTCCTTGAGCTGCGGCACCCCGCTGTAGAGAGTAGGTGAGTTGTGTTTAGTATCTTTGCTAAAGAAATGAGTCAAAGTTAAAAAGATGTTTGGTGTCCAGAGAGAAATCTGGACTCTCTTTGTGTCCATTAAACAGTTTCAGACTTTCTGTATTTGGGTTGGAGTTGTTAAATCAGGTGGTGAAGCGGTCCCCCGTCTGCTCAGGTAACCCTGTTTGTTCAGACAGAAGTGGAATTTTAAGGTTAGAAAAGTCTAAACTCACATTTAAAAAAAAGCAGCAGAGTAATCATCTGTAAGAATTCCAGCCGTGGAAATGTGAGTGCAGTCAGAGTTGAAACTGAAATGTTTGGACGTGTGCCGCCGCCGCCGCCGCTGCTGGAGAAGACTGGAGCTAAATGTGTCCAGGAGCTGCAGCTGCAGGTCGTCCATTATTCATCCGTCCTGCAGGAATCCTCATGTTTCAGCCCCGCTCACTCATCTGAGCCTCACTTCACTGTCACTGCTTACACCGCTCACCCCGCACTGACGCCGCGCTGTCCCACAGTCCTCAAACACACCACCAAAGACAAGACTGTAAAAAAACGAGCTGCAGCTGAGCTCGAATCAAAACAGAAATCCTGATTTTAGGAGGAAACTCAGACGTTTAAAATCTGCTTTGTCGTTTCAGTCTGTTATTTATTTTCTCTAAAGTTTAGTTCACAGAGGCGCCAGTTTCCAGAGAGGTTTCTATCTCATGATTTTAAAGGGATGACTGAACAGAAAAAAGGATGAACTGCTCCTTTAAAAAGAGAAACCTCTGAGGTAAAAGTGCAGATATTGGCGCTTCCACTCATTTTCCAGGTGGGCCGCATGCACGCAACCACTTTTTTTCACCCTGACTTTACCCATCAGCCCCTCTGGTAAAATCCCCCCCGTGAAGGCAGGGCGAGCTGATGTGATGACACAGCAGGAAATATTCAGAGGAGGAGCGAGAGAAGGAGAGAGGGAGAGAGAGAGAGAGGGTGAGGTGATGATGTTTGCAGAATAGAAACACATGAGAGGATGAATAAAAACAGGAGGAATAATTATCAAGATAAGAACCACGAACAAACTTTACCTCAACTTTTTATCCTTTAAGAAACACCAGAGGAAAAGAGAGGCGATGTGATTATTACGTTTCTATCAATCAATCTATCAATCAAATGCATTAAAAAGGGCTGAGGAAACACCATTTTAAAACTCAAGATAAGGAAACACTGGAGGTTAAAATCCAAAAACAAGGTAACATAGAATGAAATTTAAGAAATGATAAATAACATGAAATAAAAAACAACAGTAAAAGATACTAAAATAAAAAAAGCTAATGATATAAAATTTAGTCAAAGCAAAACTAAAAAGGTATGTTTTCATTCTGCTTTTAAAATCATTATGAGGTGCAGTCCTTCTAAATTCACTCTTAAAAACACAAAGACAGTTTCACAAACGTCGTGTTTTTGTGGGTTTTAAACTCACAGAGGGAAAGCTAACACTATAAATGATAAATGCTGCAGTGAGTAGAGAAAGTGTAAATACATCTTATCCTCATTTATAAAATAATTAAACAGTTAGAGTCGGTGTTTCAGTGTAAATTAGAGTCTTAGTTAGGGAGACCTCAGGCCAGTCCATTACTGACTACAGCGGGGTGCTGCAGCTCAAGGAAGAACATTTATGATCATTTCTTCATGGAAATACAATCAGACCGAGACGCTAAGACAGAAGAACTACCGCGTCTGTAAAATGATTAATATGGTGATTATTACTTCAAGGAAATGATGAAGAAATGATCATAAATGTTCTTCCTTGAGCTGCGGCACCCCGCTGTAGTCCGTAATGGACTGGCAACATTCATCTCTGGAGGGGGGGGTCTAACTCGGTGGGTTTGACCCTAAATCAATTTTACGCCAGAATATCCTGTTTAGTTATGAGGCGTTTTCTCTCCTTTACGGTCATGAATTTTCAAAAGTTTTATTAATTTTAATACTTGACAAACTTTCCTTTTTTTAATGAAGCTGAATTAAATTAAATTTCAGGAACAAAAACAAAAACAAACATCAGACATTCAAGTTTATTCATGTTTGCAGCCTCCAGCTCTCTCTCTCTATTTTTACTTCACGTTCATTTCATTCTCCTTGTTTCCTCGTTGAGTTTTGATCCTGTTCTTCCGACTCCGACTCTGTTCTGATATCCTGGAGCGGTTGATTCAGAGTTAAGTCTGTTTGTTGAGCCTCTTCTTGTTGTTACTGTCAGTGAAACCGGACACACCCGCCCTGATACTGAAGAGTAAATACAGGTCAGTTTCTGCTAACACACACTCTCTAAAAACCTCTTCACTTTATGAAGTTTATTTTTCTTAAAGGAGTTCAACTCTTTCATTAAAAGCCTCTTAAACGTCCTCGCCTCTTTCCAAACACTCGACTCGTATTTGGGTAGAAGTTTCAAACAGCTGATTTTAGATTTAAAAGAGCCGCTACGCCGCTGGAGTCAGAACTGATCCGACCTGTTAGTTCATCTGTGTGTCTCTGTCATGTTGACTTTCTCAGCCCTGAACCCGCAGAGAGCGAAACATCTTCACCGCATCATTAGATGTACGCACCACCACTGACCTCAGTTTATTTAAATCAAAGTTAAAGACGCACCTTTTTAGACTTGCTTTTAACTCTGACTAGGTAGTCCTGTACTTATAGGTTTTTAGCACTTCTACATACTATTTTATTGTATTATTTTATTCTCATATTCATTTTTATTATTTCATCGTTCTTGTATTATTCTATTCTACTGTATTATTTTATAATGGTATTTTTTCTTGTGTTATTTTATTGCTTTTATGTAAAGCACTTTGGGTACCTTTTGGGATATTGTAAAGTGCTATATAAATAAAATTTGATTGATTGATTGATTGATTAGAAACGACGACGCACTTTAGGCCGACTCTTTTCTGCAGGCGCTTTAAAAACAGTCAAACTAAACAACCAACAGACTCTCGGAAAAACTAATGAGGACATAAATCAGTAAAGAGAAGAATCATCACCTGCTTCTCTTCTCCATGCTGATAAACTCATTCATTCATTCATTCATTCATCCTGATCATGTCTTTCTTTGTGTTTTCCTCCTCCTCGCCCTCTCTGATCCCCCTCTCTCTCCGGTCTGGTCTTTGTGCGTCTGTCCTCGCCGCCGCTGCAGATGGTACTACGGGAACATAAACCGGGTGAAAGCTGAGAAGCTGCTGCTGGCGTCCCAAAACAAAGATGGCTCCTTCCTGGTCCGCATCAGCGAGAGTCACAGCGACGAGTACACGATATCAGGTAAGAGTCCGTACGTCCACCTTCATCCTGAACGGTGACCTTTTTCTCCACCACTCTGTCCTTTTTATTCTGGTTTAAATCAAACAAGAAGTCAAACTTGGTTCTGAAGCATTGGACTTTTACTTCAAGGAAATGATTTTTAAAACACACTCAGATCATTCAAAGATTCAGAGGATCTAGGGAAATCTCTGTCCTAAAGGGACAAGGACCAAAACCAGGACTCTGGAGTGGAAATCACTGCATGAAAAGGACAACTGGACTAGTCCTTTTCATGAAGAACTGGAAATCATAGATGCTGCATCCTCAGTTTTAGAGCATAGAGGGTCCACCTGGCTTGACTCTGTAGTAGAAATCACTGCATGGACTCAGGTTAGAGTTTGTCACTGAAACTGAACTATGTAAAGAAGACCCGTCTGGGCCCGAGTTTGTCTAAGATGGACTGAGGGGACACAGAAAACTGTCCTGTGGTCTAATTGATCAACCACACCGTCGACGCGCTCGTCTAACTAAAGAGGAGAGAGACCACCTAGCTTATTATCAGGGGTTCTGTCAGAGGGCGGTGTGGAATCTCTTCATTTTTACTCCAGAATATCCCTTTAAAGGAGGTATGATAGGACAGACTCGTTGTGAACACATGCAGCGTTCACTCCTTCACATCGAGCTAACCTAACAGACGAACAGAAACACCTCCGCTCTGTCCTGAGCTGCAGAGCTTCATCTGTGTTCGATCCTCTCTCTCTCTGCTTCTCTCTCCCTCTTTTGCGTTTCATCCACCCTGTACTCCATCCATCACCCCCTCACTCTCCTCCCTCCCTCCTTCCCTCCCTCTTTCCTCCTCTGCCCTTCACTCCCTCAAGGTCTCCAGCCACCGTCAACCTCAATCTCCCCGCCTTCGATTTTTCCTCTCCGCCTCTCTCCGCTCAGAGGGCGCGAGGTGACGAACTCGCCCTCCGGCGGCGGCCATGTTGGAGGTTGATGGTGCAATAACGTCTGATTGCTGTTATAAAAAACATTATGGGACTCTGCTCTGAGCAGAAACCACCTCCGGCTGGATGGTTGGAGATTCTGACGTTTGACTCGGGCAGTAAAGTTGAAACAGGATCTGATCTGCTCGCTGCTGGAGTCCAGAGACGCCGGAGTTTGTTAAAAGATAAAACGAAGGACCTCTAAGAGTGCGCACATCTATGAGACCAGAGCTGCAGGTTATTTAAATTATCCATCTCTGTAAAGTAAAGAGTTTTATTCATGCTGACTTTACTCTCAAACTGGAGAGGGAGAGTTTATTCAATATGACTAATGCACTAAATAAATAAGTTTAATATAACATTCAAATCTTTATGCAAAATTAATCAACAAAAAACTCGTAAAAGCAGAAGAACAGTAAAGAAACGTGATTTATCGATCAGGTTAAACGCTGCAGGAGACGCCAGAACGCCGTCTTTATAAAGCGTGCATTTGTTGTTGTTGAAGCGAACAAATGAATGCAGATCAGAGTTTTTACAGGACGCAGCGTGTTGAGTTCATTTATGGATTCGTAGATATAAAAGTCTTAAATTTCATCTGGACAACAATTCAAACGATTTTTTTCAGTTTTCCAATGATTTAGGAATAAATCAGAATGATTCAGGGGGGCAGAGCGGTCAACAAGTCGTCCACAAGCCCCAGAACAGCAAACAAGCACCAGACAAAATTCAGGTATTTCTGCTCCAGAGATAAAATACATGATAACCATCACTGAGCTGCCGGTCTGTTATCACGCCAAACCACAAACTAGAGATGTGGAGCAACTCCAAAAAACAAACTAGAAATTCCCACCTGATTTATTGGAATCAGTGATCAGCTGATGGACCATCTGCAGAAGAGAAGTCTTTAAAAATGACACAGGTGACGAGATTTTGGCGAAAAACTTCATAATTTAAAGACGACTGAGAGACACTGTAAGAGTTAAAAATCAAAACTCAGAGTCTGTAGATGTCAAACACGGTGATGTAAACAGACGGCAGGAATTAGAGCGTTTTATCAGTTTGAACTTTGCTCTCAGTCTGAGGTCACTCACCCTCAGCAGGCGCTGAAACTCTGATGGTATTTCGATAGTCGAGGAGACGGTTTGTTTTACATTCTGCTCATTGTGAGGCTGTTTGTGCGATCGTAGTTTTTGCAGAGATCCGTGCAGGACAGTCTGATCTCTTATTCTCTGCAGAAAAATCATGTATTCTCACTTTTTTCATCCATGTGTCTTTGTCGCTCCGTTTATTCGTCATGCTCTCTATCAGTGACAGCATTTGTATGTATCACCCAGAGCTAATTTCCCCTCCGGCTCTGTGCTGCTGTGTCTCTTATCTTATCTTCTCTCCCCTCAGATGGTCCAAAATCATTAAGCTGGTTTGTTCTTCAGAAGGTTGTTTCATGATCAGGGTGCAGAATGAGGAGAAGCTGCTTCACCAGGTGGATTCAGGAGATAATAGTGTTGACAGTTTCCGATCAAATGGACACGATTAAATTTACTTTTCAGGTTTCTATTTAAAAAACCCTGTATGAGCTCTTTACTTTGATCTGAAGTGATCTGAAGTCGTCCAAAGATTTTGTCCTCAAATATTTAGTTAAGAGAAATCGAACAGAGACCTTAAAGTTCCTGATCGGAGAAAAGCGACATGGAAATCTGTGCGCAGACATTGAAACCTCCTGATTTCAAACCATAGACTGTAAAAACTCAGGAAAACTTGGTTCTGCCGTCAGCCAGTAAACGGATTTGAAGCCGAAAAGTTCTCGGTAATTTATGGGGCTTATGACCTATACTACAGCCCGTCACCAGAGGGCGCTGTTCTCACGGTGGCTTCACCAAGCGAGGAGGCAGACGGCATCTACTCTATATAGAGTCTATGGCTCAAACCCATAGGTATAGATTTGTTATCCAACCCATAATGCACCTGGAATTTTTAATACTGGGCGCACAAATTACAAACCCTTTCCTCCCCGTGGATTACTAATCCATACCCATGAATTATAGAGTGTCTGCACATAGATCTGCACATAGATCTTCACATAGATCTGCACACAGCTCTTCTGTTTCCTTACCTGGTGGACGGACTGCAACATCGAACTTCTTATATATACATATTTAAGAATAAGAATAACTTTATTTATCAGCAAAGGGATATTCAGTTATCTGTCATGTCTCTAAAAGTCATATACTATTTACAGATATATTAATATATTATATATTTTAATATATAAAACTATTCGAATGTATATAAAACACTTTTGATATATTTAACCTACAGTCCTAATCTGAAAGAGGAACCTGCAGAATAAGGGACCGTCAATAAATTACTGGTTGATGTTCTCAGAAAAGGCTGTTTTCCTTCAATAGCTTCAGTCATGTGACCAAAAGACCTAAAATTGATTTCTAATGATTGTACTTATGTAGACCAATAAGACAAACATTATTTGATCAGTTTTCATTGATCCCCTGAAGTTCTTTGTGCTCCTTACTTTTTCAACTTAGGAGAACATGTGAGTGAAAGAAGTTTGTGTCGAGTCCTGTAATCTATTGATAAGGCACTGATATATTGGGAATTTTAACACATATAATCAGGAGGTTTTCAGAGATCAGGGACCCTCAGATCCTTTTTGGTTTCCTTCTTTAGTTTCCTCTGAAAATACGGGGGGAGGTAGAGCGTGAATACGGGGGAGGTAGAGCGTACAGCCGAGCCAAACTCTCCTCTCTCTCATTCAGGCATCAGTGTTTTGTGTCTGTTTCACATTTTCTAAGAGTGGATTTGTTCGAGCCTGACTGTAGCTCAAGTGTGTGTGTGTGTGTGTGTGTGTGTGTGTGTGTGTGTGTGTGTGTGTGTGTGTGTGTGTGTGTGTGTGTAGGAGGGGGTCCTCTCATTCAGCTCTTGTAAATATCTGGATGTTCTCCCGTCTCTAATTGACTTGGCTCCTGATCAGAGTCTCTGTAAACACGACGTTTTTAGCAGCTCGTCCTCCTCCGTCGTAGTAACCCACATTTTCTCCCGGCTGTTGGCACCAGGCGGGACTTTTTTACGGCGAGTGAGCTCACGGCCAATTCTCTAATGAACCCCCCGAGATTTGTGTGATCTGTGACTTTTACAGCCTCTTATTCTTCCCTCTCTCCCTCTCTCCCTCTCTCCCTCTGATCCTCACATGTCCGTCCCCTCGGTTCCTCTTCGTCCTCTGGTTTCACACACATCTTCTGCGTTTGCATCTTTTTCCCTCCCCCTCCTCTTCTCCAAGGTCCCTGAGGTCTCAGGGGGAAAATGCTGCAGTTAGACGCTCACTTCTCGCTGCCGCTGCTGAAATATGCATCATCAGTACTCTGAGCGCACAGGAGTGTGGCGGCAGAACAGGCCCCGCCTCCTCCTTTAAAGGCTCCATTACACACCTTTCTGTCTGATTTACTGTCCGTGTCCACCGCCACATAAACAGAACCATAATCCTGTTTTTCAGAGGAGAAATATGGCCTCTTTTTTCTGTGAGGAGTAAAGTCGGCGTGTCTCTGTTTGTCTCGGTGTTTTCATCCTCCATAAAACTAGAAACCCTCAGGAAAACACAGATGAATAAAACTGATGCATTTATGTACAAACTGGATTTTTTTAGCTGCAGTTAATCAAGTTGAAGCGTGTTCGCTAACATCGCCAACATGAATAAATCTGAGCTTCTGTCCGGTGAAAGGAAAGTTTCCAGAAGAGCAGATATTCAATCACAATCAGATCAATACTTTTTCCAATGATATCAAACTTTAACGACCCAGCGTTACAAAACTCTGCTGCTGCTTCAGAAATACCTGCGTCTGTATTTTCTATATTTTCACTGTCTATCTATCTGTCTATCTATCTATCTATCTATCTATCTATCTTCCTGTTGAAATGGTGACCTGTAGATATGGTGACTCGTCAGTTTAGTGACCTGTTATTGGTCATCACTTCCGTTTTGCCTTTTTTTATTCGCTTCCTTTAATTTTTTATTTTCACAGTCAGTAACTTATTTTTTTTCATCTGCACTTTTTTTGCGTCGTTAACTTCTGTTGTGACTTCTTTTTTTATTAGCAGCAGTGGCGGTTATGGGCCACCGTACTAAACAACAGTTTTTACGGGGGTTATTACGGGGGGCATGTGTGAGATGTTGTCTGTGTTTGGGTCGGTTCGGTGATGAAGTTCTCCTCTCTGCTCAGGTCTGAATCCTCATCACTGAGTTTGATCTCCTCAGGATGAAGCTGTGCTGATGTCGGCTCACCACCACAGAGCCGAATAATCAGATTATTGATCTTGTTTAATTTAATATTTTGGTGGGAAAGAGGTCAGGGAGTCTCTGAAAGTCTTGAGTCTCTGAATCTTCGCCTGCTTCAGAACTTCGATGAGCAAATGTCGAGTTTTTTTCACTGACGGAGTAACAAAGAGAGGAATGAGTCACTCTGATGTTTCCTCTGTATGTAAATCTGTCCTGTTATCTTTTCCAGCTCAAAGCACCAACACAGGTCTTTGAGTTTAGAGAAAACAGAAACTTTTAGGTTTTTACAAAAAGGGAAATACTGAATTTAAAGAAGAGAAAATCCGATTTAAAGACTCCTGATGAGGTTTATTTAGGATCTGCAGGACTTGAATATGTGATGAATCTCCTCTTTCTGTCTTCAGCCCGCAGTGAAGGGAAGGTTTACCACTTCAGGATCCAGCGCTCCACCATCGGGGCGTACTTCGTGTCCGATAAGATCTCCTTCGCCACGCTGGGGGAGCTGATCTCGTACTACCAGAAGAACCCGCGCAGCCTCGGCGTGCTGCTGGAGGAGCCCTGTGCTCAGCAGGTAGGACCCGAAACGTCAGGTTTTTACTTCTATTCTTGTGAGGACCTCCAATGACACCATGGATCCCCTGAAATCTCATAACATTTTAGTTTTAAAGAGATATTTCAGTATTTTTGAAGCAGGGTTGGGGAGTTACATACTGGGCGTGAAAACTAAGCAACAGTTTTCGACAGATTCAGATTATCTGGAGAGACCCTGAACCAAACACTCATCTTGGTTCAAGAACAAACTCACAGAAATACTCGAGACGAGTCCTTCAGTCGGACAAAATTAGCCAAACCACTCAGATCTGTCTGCGGTAAACTGTAGCTTAGCCTGCGCATCAGTTCCTCCTGCAGTTTCTCATTAATGGGGTCAAGCGGACCAGCATCTCCTGTGGCGAGTCCATGAATTGGTGACCGACCCGACTGAAGTCATTCTGTATAAACAGGTTAGATCTTAATCGGTCAGTCCAGGTTTGCTCCCGGTCCGTCGCCTTTCCAACATGGCGTCCCTCAGTCCTCGTCCTTGTTTCCTGCTCCGTCTGCTGCCTCACTGACCTGTCTCCTCCGAGTAAAAACAAGAAAATAAATCTAAAGTTAAAGTTAAAGTTAAAAGAATCCTGGACTCAGTAGACAGACAGACAGAAAAATGACTCCAAACCAAGTTTTCAGTCATGCTCGGTCCTCACAAAGATAGAAGTACAGTTCATGCATCGGTCTGTGTTAACTCTGGTCTGCAGTACGTTTTTAATTTCTTTGTGTTTAATAAAATCAGAGTTTGTAAAATATGATGATCTTCAGAGTCGTTGTGATTTAAAAGCTGGAAACTCCAAACTAATGGGCCAAACTCACGATGTTTCGCCGATATTCTCAGAAATAAAATGCGGAGAATAAGATTCGGTTTCACTTCTAAAATGTTCCGACATTTGAAAAGTTCCCCGACTTATCCTGAAGATGGCGCAGCGACCTCATGACGATCTTCACCCACTAACTACTAACTTGAAAACGTTTTTCTGTTCCTAGTTTGATTCACGATAAATACGTGGAATATTTCTTAGATTAATATTTCTGAGAAGTGTTTGACAGGTTTAAAAGCAGCCATTCGTTATGAAAATAAGTAAATATGTAGCTATATTACTTAAATTAAAAAAATTCAAAAGTTCATAAAAAATTTAAAAAATTGGCCGGTTAACTGGTAATCTGATTTCACCCCTCCTAATTGTCGGTATCGGCCCCAAAAATTCCACATCGGTCGAGCCCTAAGCCGGAGTGGAGTCTGTAATGGACCGCTTGTATCGGAGTGCTGATATCAGAGATTTTAGATGCAGGCCGATAAATCCGATATTTGTTTTTTGGCTGATATCGGACTGATATCAGATATTGATCTTGTATTGGGACATCCCCGCTGTAGTTTAGATATAAGAGAGGTGAACAGGACTTAAGGCAGTTAAACTGACCTGAGCTCCTCCTCGTATTCTCACTTTTCCCCAGAGTAACGCAGTAAAAGTATAAAATCTGAAAAGTTAAAGTCCCTGTTTGAACGTTTGAACACCGTCTTTGTGCTCATTAGTCTTTAGACAAATTCAGATATTCACTCCAGCTCTGCAGAACTTCCCTAAAGAAGAAGCTGTTCCTGTTAATATTTCAGGTTTTTTTTTATCCTCCTTCAAACTGACTTTTTTTTTTTAATTTGCAGTGAAATATGAAACCAAGCGCAACAAAGACCCTGAATTAGTCTCTCCTTTTGCTGCGCGGCGGCAGCAGCTTAATGAGCACTGTCTTATATACATAATTAACACCAAGAGGCAAACATATTTGGAGCGTAATTAAGCGCTGAATATAATATTTGGAGGAGCTGGTGAGAGAATGAAATCACGTGTCGGCGCCGTAATTACATGCAGAGTCTGTATCTGTATCTGCAGCTTAAATTAAACCCTCAGCCGGACGATTCTTTATTCACGGCACATCAGTCGGCGCCCGGCGGGAGACGACCGCGCTCAGCTCGCCGAGGTTTCTCTCTATCTCTACCCTGCTGAAAGAGAAACCACCTTTTTTAAAAACACACAGCCGTCACACTGCGGAGAGAATCAGGTTACAAACACAGAGGGATGTTTTAGAGATTCTCCAGCGTGGATTTAGAGAGTCAGTCAGAGCTCTCCAGGATCCGAGGACACTCAGTGACTCCTCCCTCTTCTCTCTTCCCTTCCAGAGGGGGCTGTGAGTCTGAGGCCGACGACACTGAGGCAGAAACACACAGAGGAAACACACACACACACACACACAGAGGATCACACTGACACACACTGACTCCTTCACACTCAAACACACAAACACAGAAAAATGACCTTTAATTGAACTTTATCTGAAAGAGGCACAAGAAACAAACTCTTTTACATTTCTACTTTATGATCATTTCAGATCTTCTGTCCTCCAACATTTCAGTAACTTTATATATTTATACGTTATTTTTAGACTTTCACAGCATCTGAATGTAAACGCTGAATGTGATTGTTGATTTTTATTGATGAATGAGTTTAAAAAGGTTCAATCAGTGACTTTTTAGCTGCACTGTGAAATCTCCAAATAAGATTTTGTCTATTACACGACACAAAACTGTCGAATTTAGAAGATCAGGACCGCTGAGAAATAAAAATAAGGTCAGAATTGTTTTAACTTTGACTTTTTTCCTCATAATTCTGACTTAAAATTTAGAAATCTGAGACAAAAAACTGAACTTTTACTTTAAGACTTTTATGAGGAGTCACAAGGCTGGGAACAAAGTCAGAATTCTGGAAAAAAACAAAAACAAAACAAAAAAAAACAGAATTTTGATTTTAAAAATTCTGTATTAAATTATAAAAATTCTCAGTAAAAATCAGTTTTAAGAGAAAAAAGTCAAACTCCAACAAAAGTCAGTTTTCGGAATAAAAATTTAGAATTATCTGTGAAAAGTAAAAGTTTTGAGGAAGTCAGAATTATAATCCCAAAAAAGGTAAAGGTAAAGGATTATAAGAAAAAAAGTCTGTATTCCTATTAAAAAAATCTAGATTTTCTGTGAAAAAAACAGAATCCTGGAAATAAAGTCAAGACTCTGACCTTTAAATTGGAATTCTGGAGGAAAGAAAAAGTCCTAATCGAAAGAAAAAAGTCAAAAATTTAGTAAAAAAGGAAAAAAATAAAGGCTTTTTCTTAAATTCAAGCTGCCCTAAACTTTCTGTTGAACGAAAACTGATACTTAAAAATGGAGAATATCGTCTCATTTATCCAGATTACTAACCTCAACAATAATCCTAAATTCTTGTTTTTTAAAGCGGCTCAGTCACACAAGAGGATATTGAAGTTTGTTTTATTACCTGATAATCTGATGACATATAATAACCGTTAAGTTAAAGACAGAAAAGGTTATAAAGAGTTAAACTTCATGACGCCGTTATCCTGAAGGATAGAAGTGCATTAACAGCTCTTTAGTATTTCAAACACAGAGGAGGCTTCATGAAGATTTATCATCACACTCTGACGGTTCTTCATTCAGATCCACAAACTCCAGGATAAATCTGTATATGCACATTAAGATCTAACCGCCTCATCAGTTAAAGAGTCTCTAAACGTGTCGTCAATCACTCTTTATTGACTCCAAACCCCGCTCTGTCCCCGGTGATTATACATCGTCAATAAATACTGACAGAGATCTGAACCGCAGAGGCGTTCCTGTCCGCCTTAAGCTGCTAAATGCAGATTTATCCTGATGTTCATAAACGGAGAGGAGAGATTCGTCACATTTAAAACCATTAGTGAGATTACATCATGTTTAATTGTTAATGGAGGGAACAACAGTTTAATTAGGAGGGATTAAAAATGACAAATCAACCTTTAAAACTAAGAAAGATTAATAATTCAGACTGAAACAGACGGTCCATGTTGTTTTTAAAGGTCCTGGTTATTTCAGTTTTTTACACTTTTAAGACTTTTTTTGTTTCTATTCTCAAACAGACTTTTATTAAACGGTGTCTGCTGTCAAAACTCCAATAAAAACCTTTTATTTATTTAAATGTGCCAAAGAAAACTCAAAGTTTATGAATATTATGCAGCTGACAAATGAATCTGTTTTATTTAATAAGATATTATTTGATTTTTGTTGACTTCTTTGTTTGATGATTTTGTCTAATTTATGGATCAATCATTTCAATCATATTATCTCTGTCTATAAAAGCACTTGATCATTAGAACAAAAAGGTTTTGTAGCGACTGATTATTTCTTATAATAAAGATTTTTGAATATGTGAATATTTTGTTTTTTCCTTTATTTCTTTGTCTGTACTTTCCTCACTCGGGCTGATTTCATAAAGGTATCGTCAAAGTATGATAATAGTTTTATGGTTTTTAGATTTTTTTTTATAAAAGAGTGGAAGTATTAAACGTTTAAATGATCAGGACTGATTTAATCTTAACAAACTCAAAGGTTGATGCAAAATGAAAACCTCAGACTTGATTAACTCTTGCATGTGTTGTTTCTTGTTTTTTGCACATTTTTATAAAGTGACAGAGTGGGTTTCTGTTAAAATTAAGGGTTTTATACGGTGGCCCTGAGGTGCAAAACACAACACAAAAAGAGAAAACACAATCGGTACTGTCGTTGTGTTTTTCGAGTTGCCGCTGTGTTTTGCACCTCGGGGCCACTGTAGTTTAATTCCCTTTACAGTATTTTATGATTTAATGTTTTGACATTATTCTGAGTAAGTTTTCACAAATTAAAGCTCCTGTGAGGAACTTTCTGTGAATATTGGTTTTGGCGCCTCCTGTGGACACAGATTTATCTTTTTCATAGATTCTCAGTTCTCAGTCTTTTATAGTCTTTTATATTTTCTTATAGAAGTCTTTTATTATTACTATTATTATTATTATTATTATTGTAATTATTATTATTATTTTTTTTTAATTCAATTTTATTTTTTTTATATTTATTTATTTTGAGTCTCAGTTTGAAGACATCGACTCACCAGCTGCAGTTTTAGACATAAAAAATAACTATTAGTCACTTTATATTCTGATATTTTTGGTCAGTTTTTGCGCCACTTCCTCTTCGTTCCAAAAAAAAACTTTTCAAACACTTTTAATTCTTTTGATTTGATCATAAAATCTCTGCAGCCGACCAATCAGCTCTCATGTTTTCACACAGTGGAGTCGTCTGAAAACTAAAAATATATCAAATGCTCATCTGCTCATTTTTAGAAATCGTGAAGTTTAACCTCACGTCTGTTCTTCTCTGCAGGTTCATGTTCTCTTTAGTTTTACTCTGATTGGTTTAAAGTTTTCTGGACTCACGCTGTGGTCTCTGTGCAGCGGGAACTCTTCGACATGGAGCCGTGGGAGAGGCCGAGAGAGGAGTTCAGACTGATCAAGAAACTGGGAGAGGGACACTTCGGAGAGGTGTGGGAGGCTCTGTGGACCACGGAGAACAGGAAAGTGGCCATCAAGACGCTCAAACAAGGTACGAAACTCATCATGTATACTCGTTTTTAAGAGTGAGAGAAAAAGACGGAGGATAGAGGAGGAAACGAGAGAGAGGACTGACATGTCTCTGAAGACTGAAGAGGTTTTCATGTGTTTGGAGACACACGAGGCCTCAGAATCTGTTCTCTGTTTTATCAGAAAGGTTCAGTCTGATGTTCAGTGAGCGGCTGACTATGATGATTAGTATATAAGTAAATCTTCACCTGTGTTTCTGTTTGTCCTCCTGCAGAGGACACGAAGCAGGACGAGTTTGTGAAGGAGGTCCAGGCCCTGAAGAGCCTCCATCACCCGAAGCTGATCCAGCTGTTGGCCATGTGCTCCAGAGGAGAGCCGGTCTACATCGTCACCGAACTCATGAGCAAAGGAAGCCTCAAGTCCTATTTGGCCTGTGAGTCCTCAAACACACACACACACACACACACACACACACACACACACACACACACCTGAGACGACACGAATCCTCCGTCAGATTAACTCCTAATTCTGCATTTCTCCGTTTTTCTTCACGACAGACGACTTGTGCAAAAACAAGGAGACTGTGTTTGAACATGCAAAGAGGTTTAAAACGGAGGAGTTTGTTTAGCTTTCATGGGCCTGAGAGTTTCAGTCTTTACCTCCGAGTTTTTTCTTTCCTTTTTTGGAAAGCCGTGTGAAACTGTATTTGGGTCGAGCGACGTTAAATCTCTCCAAATGGAATTATAATCTGCGTCCTGGCAGGAATATTGTCCTGACGTTTTTACAAAAGGCTTTAATCACCGAGTCTTAGTGAGCCGAGTGTGAAAGGCTTTGACTCAGATATTTCTCATTCCAGTTTTCAGTCTTCCTGCGTGTGTGAGAGTGTGTGAGTGTGTATCGACTGGACTTATCTGCTCTCTGTGCAGAATTAGTGGTGTGATTTCAGTAAAGCTTGAAATGCTTCATTCAACAGAGAGAAGAAAAAAAGCCTCCTCCAGAATCTGCTCGGATAACTGTTGATTATATTTGATACGCAGGACATCTGTGGAGTTATATTTATTATCAGCAGTTATGATTGCAACAATGATCAGAGAAAAACACGTTTATCGGCGCCTTAAATAAACAGATTATTTCTGCAGTTGAAATTAGGGACGCACCGATCCGCCTTTTTCACCTGCGATACCGATACAGGTATCGGATACAGGTATTGTGGATGCCACTCACAGCGCATAGCATAGAGTTAGACCAAATAGATTAGCCCCTATCCATCGGGTCCATTGTCACGATACCCGATCTAGAATTTTCTTCAGTATCAGGACCGATACCGGTATCAAATATCAGGTCGGTGCATCCCTAGTTAAAATAGAGCGAAAGAAATTTAAAAATTCATGTCAAAGCGAGCGTTTGTGAATTTATCACCAAATGACAACAAAGAAAAAATGTGACATAATGAAAGAAATAAAGTCAGGACTTTCTAATAAAAGTCTGAAGTTGTTAAATTAGTGTCTGTTCTTAATTAAAGGTATAAAATCCAAAGTGTGCAGAGATAGCTGCAGATTAAAGGAGCAAATACAGAAAAAGTGTCGCTGCAGGAAAAGCTTTGGAGTCGAACAAGAATCGATAAATAGCGTCAAAAAGATTTAACTGTTAATTTACAAACTGAAAAGGAGGATTTTAGATGCCAAATAAAATTTAAAAAATGATCTATAATAACAAGACAGTGAAATACAGCCGCACGTTCACGACCCTGTTTGAGAAAAACCTGCTTAAAAGACAAATGTGTTCACCTGCTCAGCTGACAGTGTGTGTGTGTGTGTGTGTGTGTGTGTGTGTGTGTGTGTGTGTGTGTGTGTGTGTGTGTGTGTGTGTAGCTGCTGAAGGCCAGGTGCTGACCTCAGCTCATCTGATCTACATGGGCAGTCAGATCGCGGAGGGCATGGCGTACCTGGAGGACAGAAACATCGTCCACAGAGACCTGGCCGCCCGGAACATCCTGGTGGGAGAGGATCTGGTCTGCAAGGTGGCCGACTTTGGACTGGCCCGGATCATCAAGGTAAGCTTGGAGAGTGTGTGTGTGAGAGTGTGTGAGAGTGTGTGTGTGAGTGTGTGTGATCCTGTGGAAACAGAAAGAGTGTTTCTTTCTCCTCTAACAAAACCACCTCCTCTGTTTTTCTTAGAGTAATGCTAATTCTCTGCGCGTTCCTTTAAATATGTATAAGTTTGTTTTTGGTATTCTCATGTTTACTTAATGTGAAAACTCCATCTGTTCTTCCAGCTGTACTGTGTAAAGCTGCAGCACTCCAAACACCATGTTTTATTCATACAGAGCCTCCGCAGCAGTCACAGACTTAACCTTTTAAGACGTCCGTTTCTAAGTGGATTATCTCATTACTAAAATTAAATCACAGACGATAATATTTACTGTAAATAAACCGGATACTCTGACGAGGACGGTCGCTGCTGCTCTCTGAAATTAACGTTAAAAAAGTTCATTTTGCAAACAAATATAATTTAGGTCCTCCTCTTGTGTTTTAACCTTTTGTTTCCTGGTTGTTTTTTTAGTTCAGGGCCAAATCAGTTTTTCATTGATCAGTTATTGGCTGGATCGTTTTCCATTTACTTTATTTATTAGTCCTCGTACCTTCAGGCACCTGGAGCTCCAACACAACCAACACAAACCAAAGTCAGAATTACCCTGTTTTACATTCCCACATATAAAAATAACCACAATAAAAAGACCTAATGTGGCTCCATCAGGTACTGTTGTGTGGGGGACTGGACTTGTGTAGCACTTGAGTCTAGGACAAGTCCAGTAGAGAAATATTATCATAGTATTGAATCATATCTTATTAGATTTTTATCCCTGGTTGTATTATATCACATCAGAATGTATCCAAGTTTATGGTATTTCATTGTATCTTTTTATCCTATTTTTTATTATCGATGTTATCATATCCTATCATATAAAATCTCATATCTCATTATTTACGACTTCTTTCTCTACAGTGTAGCCATTAGATCTTATTTAATTAAATAACATTTATGTGTAGCACCTTTATTGTATTAAATTACACAGTGTAAAACCATCATTTGTTATCACACTATATCACATACAATGGTACTGCTTAATATTATAGCTTTCTATTAAGCTGTTTAGTTTCATGACGCAATATAACGTAAAATAACGTATTGTAAGAGTCATATCGTAACATATGGTATTGTTTGGTAACGTATCGTATCCTAATGTATCCTGACATGCCTTATTGAATCATATTTTAATGTATTGTGTCATAACGTATCGTATTTTATCATAACTTAATATATCGTATAGTAACATTAAATAACGTGCCCTATTGAATCGTAACATAACGTTGTGTCGTATCAAATCATATCATAGCGTCACATGTCGTTTCATATCGTATCGTAACTGAGCGTAGCGTATTGTCACGTGTCATATTGAATCACATCATATTGCATCGTAATGTCACGTAACTTTTTGTAACATATCATATCGTATTGTAACACAAGGCAACATAACCTAGTGTAACACATTGTCACTCATCATAAAGTTAAGTTTTGTATAGTAATGTATCGTAATGTAACACATCGTAACGTGTCAAAGCATAATGTATCGTAACACATGGTCACGGATCGAAACGTTACATATTGTATTGTAATGTACCGTATCGTAACGTGTCGTAGCGTAATGTAATGTAACGTAAACTGGTGTAATGTAACATTGCATGTCATATCATGATGTAATGTATCGTACTGTATTGTATTGTATGGTAACGTGTCGTAGTGTAGCTAGCCTAATGTAAACTGGTGTAATGTAACATATTGTATCATAACGTATCGTAGCATATCGTGTTTTCGTATTGTAACATGTCGGTTATATCATATCATTTGTATGAATCCCATTATATCAAACAGAATCTCAAACTCTCGCCTCTCTTCCTCTTCCTCTCAGGACAGCGTTTACACAGCCAGTCGAAACACAAAGATCCCCGTGAGGTGGACGGCTCCTGAAGCGGCGATCTACCAGCGTTTTTCCGTAAAATCAGACGTCTGGTCGTTTGGAGTCCTGCTGTACGAAATGATGTCACGAGGCAAGATGCCTTATGAAGGTAGAGTTGAAGTTTTCTTCCACCTAAAAGCTCCAAAAAGAAACTGTTTTCTTCTTTCTAAGACATTTATAAAATTTTATGAAAAGTTTATGACAAAGACAAATGCACAGTCAGATTTTCAATTTGAGGTTCCTGAAGGTGAAAGATTAGAAGGCAGCAGTCCTTGAATTCACACAGAGGAGAAGAAGAGAGCGAGCAGTGCTGATGAAAACAGAGACAGACAGACGTCATTTATCAGGGTGTCAGATGTTGGTCTCTGGTAAATAACTTTTTCTGGACGGCACTGTTTAATATAAAAATGATTCTGGTTGTAAATTTATAATTCTGTTTAAATTTTTCATTTAGTAAAAAGACTTTTCTTTTTATTTCTTAACCTTTTTAATATTCAGGGTTTTTTATTTTTTGCTTGGGGCTGAGAGAGACTAATGGTATGAAAGTGCTGAGAGTGTCTCCAACTTTGTTATTATTATTTCAGTCTTTTCCTTTAATATTTTAAAGGGATATTCCGGTGTAAAATTTAGAAGAAAAATGACAAAATCTTTAGCTTTTATGTTCAAGAGTCCTAAAATCCATCAGATACAAACATTAGTTTGTGTTGCTTTACCTGCAAAGTTGACTTTTTCCTAAAATTCCTGATCTTCCCAGTCGTGGTTTGGAAATTCTGCATCTCAAATCGTTTCTGCAAAACAAAAGGTTAAAAAAGATTCTGTGAGTTTTTCAGCTTTAATACTTATTTTTCTTTGTTTTAGGAAAAAGCAACAAAGAAGTTCTGGATCTTCTATCATCTGGTTTCCGGCTCCCCTGTCCGACCCGCTGTCCTCAGAATATCTACCGAATCATGATGGACTGCTGGGCGGCTGAGCCCTCCAAAAGACCTTCTTTCCACGCCCTGCACAGCCAGCTGGACACGATATATGCCAGGATATATTTCAAGACGATCGAGGTATAAAAGAGGAAGACGTGTCCTCTGCGGCGTTAATCGAGGACGGACTTCAAACGTGAAGGAGACGTTCTCCTCTCTTATGCAATCCTCTCCCACAACAGGGTATTTATACTTAAAAACTGCAGAGTGTGACGGAGGACAAACGTGGACTCACAGGAGCGACGTTCGCCAAATCCACGATGAAGAAGAAAGGACAGATGAGAGAAAAGCAGGCAGAGACTGTGAATGGTGTGTAAATACACTCCTACCTAAAGACACTCCAACCCTCGGCACATTCACAGAACCAACTGTTTTTAATTTTATACCCTTTTTGTGTTTTATAAATACTATTTTATTACTCCTCGATGTGCCATGTCTGTGACTGCACACTTGGAAACGTTCGGACGTCACAGTCAGGTCTTAAATTAATCGGTTTTCTGACTGTGCGGAAAGAAGTGCAATAATTTAATGCGAACCGGGTTTTTTAGCCACGCTAGCGGCCTGGTGCTACAGCTGCTGTGATGTGGATGGCTTAGCTTCTACGTCACATAGGTCTATATCTCATCAGTAATCAGGACCGTGTCCGGAGCAGCTCTGGTGATTTTGTGACATCGAGCCAGGATGTGTCTTTGTCATGTTTTGAAGCACTCTATCTTCTGATGAACTTTTGACCAAACTGCCCTTAACATCAGCTCTACTTTGGGGTTACATAGAAGGACTAAATGCAGGAATCTAATCGCCCAAAACACTTATAATCCGGGCGTTGCATAAACCTGAAAATCAATCTCAAAGACGGAGTTAGACGTGTTGGGATTTCTTTGCACTCTTGCTGTTTGGGTGGTTGAGAAGTCTATAAGAGCTTCTCTGCAGAGCCAGGAGGGGATTAGTTTAGCTCAGCATTAAGACTGAAAGTGTGTGGAAACCACTGACTGTATATATTAAGGACAGAATACCTTCATCTCCTCCCACTGTGGGTTTAAGGCCAATACCACCTCCATGGACGAAGCCATGCCCAGAATCAATCCGACATCGAACCAAAACACCAAAACGAAACATCTCAGTTCCCCTCGAGTGGATCCAGTTTGCAGATATTTACAGTTGTAGAAAGTTTAATGACCTTGAGGAAGAGTCGGTCATGTTTTCTCTAACATCTAATAACTAATCAAACTGAATTTGACAAAATCAGGTCAATAAGAACCGACTTTAACCATGTTTGAGAAAGTTAATCTAAAGAGAATTTTAGTTTTCCACCCATGTCCCATCTGTTACAATGAAAGAGGCATGCTATACAGCCAGCCACCAGGGGGAGCTCTAAGATATTTGGCTTTACTCGTCGTAGCTGTTGTTCCGTCCATTATTTTGTAGAGTTTAGAACATGCGCACCTGCACATCTCATTAATAACAATCTTCTTTTATCCTTTAAAAATGTAAATACACTCATTTCTCATCACAAACCCCTCGGTATAACCAGCCTCTCAGCTTTTCCCCCTCCAAGTCTCATAATACTGGAGCCGTATGACTGAAAAGGTTCGGTTTGTTATCAACAGACACATGAAGTCAGCCGGCCTCCAGTGTTGGTGTTGATTGGTTTGGCTGGAGAAAGATCCAAGTTTGCATGCTCTGTGGGGCGAAGAGTTGGCATGTTTTTATTAACAGGAGGAAAACTCCGCTCATAAGCATGTTAGCACATTTTGCATGCCAGGATTGAGGTCAAAGCACAGCTGAGCCTCCGTACAGCTGAGGCCGGTGTTGTACAGAGTAGAAAGCAGAATGAATGTCGAAAAGTTGGTCTGAGAGGTTCGGAGGGATGACCATTCCCCCCCTAAAGACACGCGCTGAGTTTTAATTTAAAGGAAGTCAAATTTCTTCTCCACTTTCATTCACTTGTTTTTCATTTCCCGGCCTCGTAGGGCCTCTAGCGTGGCTGCACACTGTTAAGGAACGTTCAGACTAAACCTGATCGATGTTTGTGAGCAGAAAGTCAACGCAACACTAGATGATTTAAGGTTCTCCTGAAGATGCACAAACTCAGAATAAGTCAGATTACTGTTTCTGTCTGAGGAGACCTGGAGCTCCAAAACTTCAACTTTAAACAGATGGTTTAGAAAACTTTAACGTGAACCGACACGATCACATTTAAGGTCCTGTAAAAGTGACGTTTTAGCCAAATTTAGCACTCTCATGTAGCTCCCATAAATCAGCTGTAAATTTGCCAAATACTCGTGTCACTCCAGCTGCCTTAATCACACAAACTGGACGCTGCAACAAAACAGCTTCATGTTTCGTCTGAACGCTCCGGAAGTTTTATTAACCAAGAGCAAAAAGTATTTAAGAGTCTGTTTCTGTTACAGGAGTCTGAGTGTTTTAGCGAAATGAACACTGAATTCATGAACGGCGGCCAGTTTAGGGAAGTATTCGAGTTTCTTTGAATCTGCTGATCCTGTATGTTTTTAAAAAGAGACACATGTACAGGCCTTAAAGTGTTTTAGACGCCCACATATACGGCCAGAAACAGCTGCAGTGCCTATGTTTACACCACAGACCACACTTATGAATGCAGATGGAATGAAGAACAAAGGGTGAAATCCCTGCACAGTGAATCAGCCATATCCAGGAACCTTTGGGAGGGTGAGGGGACGGGCAATTTCTGCACCACAAAATTGTACAATGATGTTGCAATGCAATGCAATTTGAGAACAATGCAACTTTTTGTCTTTTATGCATGACATTTACACCAGGCGAAGCCAAGTTCAGGAAGTTTTAGCCATAATCACCGAATCACCGTCGAGATCGAGTTCATGTTGTGGACTGTGTGGCGCCATTTGGCACCAAACACCATTAATGCAAAGAATAAAGTATTTTATGTACTGTTTTGAAATGTTCTTTTTTATTCTGATATCATGAGGTATTTCTACAAACATGATCACATTTAGACAAAGTTTTTATCTCCACTATAAATCCCTTTAGAGAAGCAGCTTCACGTCTGTCTCCATGATGTTACACGGACGATTGAATACTCGATTTTGGTACATTCAACAAACAAGCTCTACAAAATATTCTTGCATAAAAATCGAGAGAGACATGCTGAAGGTCACAATGGAAGAAACTACAGAGCACTCTTTTGTCTGTTCGGCTCTAAATGAGACCAAAATTAGAAAAATGGAGGAAAGTGGATCAAGACGATAAATTTTAGAGAAAATGATAAAAGTGAGAAATTACCAGCAAGTTTTCTTGTGTTTAAAGGGATATTTCAGCATAAAATTAATTTAGGGTCAAACACACCATAACACCGAGTTAGACCCCCCCTCCAGAGATGAATCCTAAATTAATTTTATGCCGAAATATCCCTTGAAGCTGCAGCCACCACTGACATGTTAAGCCAATGCACAAAAAACTGCAGTTCCCCTCATGTCCACTAGAGGCTTACTGCAGAGAAAAAAACGAATCTGTTTTATTTTATTGAGGTGAAATTACAGAAAACATGCAGAAATTAAAATTTTCTGGGTTGGATTAAATTAGCATTTCTTCACAGCGACACTTTGGGCTCTACTTCTTCAGAGACCAGTTGGTGGCATCATGAACACATTCATGTTTTATACAGTCTACAGTTCATACAAGAGACCTCTTATTTTTGTAAAACCAGAGGGAGTTCCTGCTGTTAGCCTTTAGAAATAAAAATGCACATTAATCCGAACACTGTAATGTATTTTAAAGTCTGCTCTGCTTAGACGGACTCTTTCCCTCTGTAATCTGCTGAGTACTCTGTGCTGCTGCCCTTTAGAAAGAAACCAGGGTTCAGGAGCTCAGTTTGGACTTTAGGTTTGACGGACTGAGGGTCTCTCTCTTCTTCTGTACAGGCTTTAGTTGAAGGTGGTACGGTTTGTGCCAACCCTGTGTTTGAAAACAAAAAGGATGGGTCCTCTGAAATTAGTCCTAAAAACAGCAGGACTTTTATTTTGAAGGTGGAGGCGACATGTTTATGGGCCAAAAACTGGGACAAGCCCACACATGCTGATATGTAAATGATGATAAGGAGCAGCTGTATAAAAAATATTGTTACTCTCCCTTCAAAGCATCGGCACTATCACCATCACCTTCATAAAACCTTCATTAATTAACATTGGAGCGACCATGCTGACCTGAATTTAGACACTCTCTGGATGTGGGAGTGAGGTGTTCCAGTGTCCAGTCTAAGGTTATTGTTTAATTTTATTTTTGCGGTTTATTGATTAAATAAAAAACAAACAAAAAAAGACGATGTTGATGTACGTGATGAGGGTGAGAGTGCTCCTCCCGTTCCCCAGATCACTGCTTCACCTGCAGTGTCCCTTTGTAGCATTTACCTGTCCGATCACCTGAAGCGCCCCTTGTGGTGATTGTGCGAGTAACAAAACAAAACCCCAAAAATAATAAAGATAAAATGGCTCATACAAACTTTAACATTGTTTTTAGCACCAAACTTCCAAGTCTGCAGATTGAGTTTTGTTGATGACCACAGCAGAAAAGGGTCGACTTTATTCAGCAGGTAGAAATGGGATTTAGAAATACTGAAGTCTGTTTAAATTGATCTGAAATTACAGTTTTTATTCACTTTGAATGAGTTTTTTATTTTACACAGAGGCTGCCGTGTTTCTACAGTAACACAGGATGGACAAATCACCAACAGGTAAACATGATTTTGTATTTACGGGTTGCTGCGCACAGAAGAAGTTGTGTTGATGATAAAAACTTGACAAATACTTATCATGTTGTCCATTCTTACTTCACTAATGAGAGGAGTGTAAAGGGGAGCATTTCAATCTAGAATCTGACAGCTAGATAGCGCCACATATTCCTGTATCTACGCCTGATTCCTGTAAGACAAACAGGAAAAGTTTCACTAAAAACAGCCCCGAGTTGTTTTTACGCACAGGTTTTTTTTCCCCTGGTGACACGGTGAACCTGAATCCAGTAAAATCTCATTAATGTCAGAACAGCTGATGGATCTAGATCAGTTTAAAGAATCGATGGCTGAATAACATGTTTGCTATGAGATGAATTACAGGAACCACTCTGAGCTTTTTTATTTCCGTTTGTGGTTTTATAAGAATCGTTCTCGCCTGACTTTGCAGGATGAATGAGACACTTTTGTAAAATTGGTGGATGCCACTTGACCCAGAATTCCTGGAGTTAGAACAAATACACACTTGACTTTTTCAGTCGGTGGTTTAAAGGTGAATATCTGAGTTCAGATAAGACGTCTTTATGAGGGAAAGGAGGCGTGTCGACACCAAGAGGAAATATCTCTGACTGGAAGGAGCAGCTGAGAGCCGATAAACTGCTGTATCTGTTGTCTCCTCACTTCACAGATATCTGATCACAGTAATCACCGACACTCGTTTCTAGAACAACAGGTCCTCTAGCCTGCAGTCGGCTGCTTAAGTTCAGATAAACTTCCAGAAACTTTCAAGAAAGGCTGCAGATGAAAATGTTGTTTTAATGTGTGACTGTATGTGGGCCAAAGATTGTTTTCTTGAGTGAAACATGAGAGTCTGGTTTCTTGTTGTTGTTGTTGTGTTCCCTGTTTTCTCTAAATCCACTCTCTTTGTTCCACTGGAGTAAATCTATTCTTCGTATGTTTGTCTGAGAAACAGCCTGTTAGAAAAAAAGGACTAAATCTAAAACTTCAGCAGTAATGTGCAACTTAACACCAAATCCTGACCTGTTTAACAAAGACTGCAGCCTCTGTGGTCCTGTTAACCCTGTAGTTAAGCTTCAGGTTTTATATGACATCTCATTACCTCTGCTAATTCCTCGTCTTAAAATTGTTTTATGACTCTTTATACGACTCGACTGTTTCTCGATCTCTTGAACTAAAGTTGTGTGAGGCTGTCTGTCATGTTCAGGGTTAAAAAGTCTAATCTCCAAACAATAATAACAACAAACCAGAGTGCTTTATCTGACAGTCCCATGGGTGAGTTGTGTTTAGTCTCTTTGCTAAAGAAATGAGTCAAAGTTAAAAAGATGTTTGGTGTCTAGTACTATGTCTGTGACCCTATATGTCCTGTTGATGAAGTTAGGTGCTGTCGTTAAAACCAGCTATTTCACATATTGGATTCTTACTACAGTATTGAACGGCAAGAGCAACACCAAGGACAACCAGATCACACTCTTCATAGTAATCTGCAGAAAGTCGTCAGGCACATTTTTTAGTTTATGATTTCATCTCTTCCTGTTGCCGAGGTGGCATTTTAAGTTAATCTAATATCACAATCACCAGCTGAGAAAAGACGAGAAGGAACCACAAACCACAGCATGGTACGGGCTTCGGTGTCACAGGACTGGTTGGGTGAGAAGAAAATGCCAACAGAGAAGCTACGAGGAAGAGGAACATGTACAGTAACTGCTGTCGTTGTGTTATTTTTACAGCTGTTAGCGACTCTAACAGAGAGACACTCTGCATGTTGGCTGATCTCTGGGCCAGTGATAACCTTTTTCTTTTTCACGTTCAGCTCTTCTAATTTGGAGGCGTCCATGTTTTAGGGTCGGTGACGCAGTCGATGAGTGAGGAACAGCTGAAGGAAAGGTAAAGGTGGGTGTCATCGGAATAATAATTAAAGTCAGTGCTGTGGATATGCATAAGTAGAAAAGAGTAGTGGTCCCGGCTGTGACCCCTGTGGTATACCTCAGGACATACTAACCCTGGATGACTGTGAGTTTCTAACAGCAGCATTCAAACTTTTGAGTTTATTAATTTTGATTTATTTATGTTTTAAGTTAGGGTGACCATACGTCTTCTTCTACCCCAACATGTCCTCAGTCTGTTTTTTTATTTTTTTTTTACAGTCTTTTTAAAGTCGAGTTTCTAGTACACAAATATTTTGAGAGAATGACTTTTTTTTTACACTGAATTTATTTCATCATTGTGAAAAAAAATATGTGTCAGAAATAAAAACACGTGCTTGAAATATGATGGTTTGAAAATTTAAAGTCTGATAAAAAATTCAGCTTTAAAAATTCTAATTCAAAATCAGATGGCACAGATTTACTACCATACTGCATGCATGTAAAATTTTTCCGGATTAAGGTTGAAAACTTAGTTGAATCATTGTCTGGATGTAAGATAAACTATGGAAGTAAATCTGTGCCATTTGATTTTGAATTTGAAATTCTAAAGTGGATTTTTTTTACATCAAAATCAGACTTTGAATTTCAAAACCATTAATTTTTTTACACAGTTTTTTTTAAGTTGAATTCTAACTAAACAAATCTTTTGTGACACTGATTTTTTTTACACTGAATTTATTTCATCATTGTGAAAAATAATAAGTGTAAGAAATAAAAATGTGTGCTTGAAATTTGATAGTTGTGAAATTCAAAGTCTGATTTTGATGCAAAAAAAAACTGTACAAAATCAGATGGCACAGATTGACCTCCATAAAGAGGCGTTTCCATTTGTTGGAGGGGCAGTCTGACTTTAATGACGCGCGTGCCCCATCAGGGGGCGGGGTTAGTGTGTGTTTTTACCGCCAAGCAGGAAGAAGTGTGTGTCAGTGTCTTTTTTCTCCACACACACTCAGGAGCAGCAACAGTTTCTCTGTGGAGACATTCCGCGGATTCTTCTCACTCCCTCCTCTCCACCTGTCCGACAGGTGAGACCGGCCGTCTGTGCACACGCGCGCTGACACGCGGCTCAGGTAGGGGGGCCGTTCATGGTCACTCATGGGTGAGTGTCTGCGGAGAGCGTGTCCATGTCTGAATCCACTATGGGACAGGATCTGTTTGGAGAAAAAGCCGAGCCCGGCTCCTGCACCGACCCCGATCACGGCTCCTGCGCCGACCCCAGCTCCTGCGCCGAAACCACCGGTGAGCCACTCCATCTACACGGCTCTGTGGGGGTTCGAGTCCCGGCACCCCGATGAGCTGTCCTTCAAGGAGGGGGATATGTTCAATGTGATAAACCGGAACGGGGACTGGTGGACCGCCAGGAAGATCGACAAGAACGGATGCGTCCTGGACACCGGGATCGTTCCCCAGAACTACCTGACCAGAGCCGAGTCTCTGCAGATGCAGCCGTGAGTATCTGTCCTTTCAGCCTCTGCGTTAAAAACAAACAGATGAATCAAACTCGAGATGATGTGGAAAAGTCAATGAAACCTGCAGCCTGACAGGAGAGACATTCTTGTCTCCGAGCCAAGTCCAAGCAGCTCAGATTTGCATACAGAAGTGATTCAACCGGCTTTAAAATACCAGAGAGAATGACATTTTCAACGACAGTGTCAGTGGATGACTCACTGAATATGTTAAATAACCTTCTAAAAGTCATAAAAGAAATATGCAAAATGCATTTAGAGTGCAGAGAAGTCAAACCAGGGAGAAACACGCACTGACAGACGGGTGAGAGGAAGATTTCATGGCACAAATCACAGCCTCAAAAACCTCTGCAGTTAACCTGGATTCATCCAAAGTGTAAAAGTCGTGTGTTCATGTTTGTTTTCACTGATTCAGAGGAGATTATCTACAATAATCCAAGTTTTTTCCCCTTCCTGGTCCTGCAGTCCTACTTTGACTGAATGTGCACACCTTTCTCTCCAGGGTCAAAGTTCAAACACATCCTGCAACATTTCTTTATTGCTCAAGACAAAGGTTAACACTTCCTTATTGAGTTTTGAGAGTTTTATGCAATAAAACAAACATTTTAGACTCTTTATCACCTCCAAAGATCACCTTAAAATAATCTAACTTTAACTTATCTGGGTCACCGTCTGCAGCAGCTGCGTACAGATCTGTCAGTGTCCTCACACAAACTTTCCTCCTTCAGAAGCTTTTTCTGCAGGAGATTAACCATCAAGTTACACATTAGTCTGTTTAATATGATCCAGATCAGGAAAACTCTTCCAGTTTGAGAAATTCACCTCTTCACCTCAGTTTACTTCGACGCTGAGATCATGAATCAACAAAATCACAGACTGTACTCGTGTTAAACTAGTAAACACTCATTTTAAGGCCGACTCTGCAGAGCCGTCAGGTTTTAAAGAGACGTATTTAAGCTGTCTTTACTCCCAACTTTAATCACCCTGTGAAAAACACAACCAGCCAAACCTGATCCAGGATGAAGCCGTCAAAGACTCGGTACTTCCCCTCTACTGTAACTCTTTACTTTTAGCTTCAGTCCTCGATTCTCTATTAAATCTTACCGAACAAACGTGTTAATCTCTCAGGATTTCATCTGTACTTCTTTGTTTGGTGGCTGCCGTCTCCCCAATATGATGTTATGATTGGAAACCAGATAAGATTAGATAAGTTAGTGAAGATTTGAAGGTTTTCTTCGTTAAAGCTGAAGTGAACGATAATCAACAGCCTGTGATCATAAAAACTGAAAGTGTAACCTCAAACTTGTGCTCATGCCGCTAAAGTCGGTGTTAGATTCTCGTCATAAAACAGGACCCTATAATTAATGTCAGCACCTGCTGACATGAGAGAATCACCAAACTTTGCACACTTCCCATTCTGCTGAAGCAACGAACGCACAAAACCAGAAGTGGTGAAGCGGTGGCCTATTTTTTCTCTGTGTCCAGTTTACATCACTGAGAGAGACGGATGAGGAGGAATCTGATGTAGAAGTTTGATCAGAATATGATCATTATTATTATTATTATTATTACAGCAGTGTGAGTGTAACACTGAGGAGACTTAGTGAAGGACGAATAACACAGATTTGACTTTAAAGATGGAGTTTAAATGACTTTACATTCAACAGTTCTGGGTCTGATTCAGGTCCACATTTATCAAAATAGTCTATTTGAAGCTTGAATTACAGCAGTGCGGTTACACACGCTCAGACTTTAGGAACAAGAAGAGAGAGAGAGGTGTTTGTGTGGAAGTGTGTGGTCTCTCTGTGTTTGTTTGTGTGTTATAAACCGGTCATATTTGTCCTCGGTTGTCAGCGGTTTCTCTGCATCTAAATGTTTATTAAGATCAGAAAGTCGTCTAGTGTGAAGACGAAGAATTAAAACCATCCTGAATAAATGAGCGCAAACAATTTCCTCTTTGAAATAAACTGAAAAGATAAGAATTTTATGACACTGGAAATCAAAACTCCACCCTGTGTGATTTAGTGATTTAGTGATTTAGTGACCTGACACGATTCGTACACTTAGAGACGATCAAATTTATTCTCAGGGGGTTGAGAGACGAATCCTTTAAAACTTAAACCTGCGCCCACTTTAGAACCACTTAGCACTGTCTTTGTGATCAAATCCATGTGAACCTTTTCTTCCTGTTTTGTGCACAGCCTCAGAGTTGGTGAACTCTTGTATGTGCTGAATTTTGTTTTATATATATATATATATATATGTGTATATATTTCAGGACTGGTGTCCCAACATGTTCGTGGAGATGGAGGCCATTTAATATTATTGATTATTTAAATAGGAGCATTGTGATCCTTCTGTACGTTTATCTTTGTACAATATTGTTGATGCTCAATAATAATAATAAATAAAAAAAACTGAAAAGAGTTAAAATAATGACGGTCAGTTTATAAAAGGGAAGCTGTAGAGTATATTTGTGTATTTAAGAGCCATAAAGAGGTTTTTACTGCCGTTTGAATGACTGAGGTTTAATAAAACTCTCATCACAGATACATTTATGACTCTGTGTAAAAACTGTTCGGGGTTGTTCGGTCGATTTCCTGTGTGATAAAAACTCTGAGATGTTAAAATAAATTAACAGTAGAGCTAAAATGAGACAAAGATACTTCACTTCAACTTTTTAATGTCCCAAAATTGGATAAATCAGGTCACAGCAGGTACAGGCATGTAAAACACTGACATACATCATAAAATAAAATAAAATAAAATACATTTACATAGAAAACAGTTCAGGAGGTAAAAAGCTTTAAAGATGATTTAGAAGGTAAAAAAAAAAGAGCATATGTCAGTAATCCCAGTATTTTTGCATGAGCAGAGAGAATAAAGTGCAGAAACAAAGTTTAATGTGAGGTTTACGTACCAATAAAAGAAACCCGAGATGAAGCATCATCCTTCCAAGATCAGGACCATCAGACCGAGAGCAGATACCCCTACTCTGTACAACAAGATCACAGTGATATAGACAGAGCTTTAGTGACTCTAAAGGAAACTTTAAGGGTTGAAAATCTGAGACTTTGATAAATGGAATTAGTAAAATGTTCAGTAATGATGGCAGGATATTCAAGGTTCATCTCAACTGTCTGCTCGATCTTTCTGATATAAAACTAAAAGATTGAGACACTTCCTCATATTTACCGTCATGTCTGACTCCATCCAGATGGTACTTCGGGACCATGAACCGCTTCGAGGCGCAGAGTCACCTGATCGCTCCAGAAAACCAGGACGGAGCGTTCCTGGTCCGAAACAGCGAGAAGGAAAACGTGGGATACGTCCTGTCAGGTGAGAAGGAGCGAGGCGGTGGGAGTTATATATATCGGCCTTTATCATTTAACTCAGGGTTAAATGTTTATGAACCATAAAATACAAAATACTGTAAGAAAGAGAACGGAGGAGGGAAAAATGGGAAATTAAATAATCATGAATTTGATCATAAAAGTTTATGAAACTGAGAAAAAAAGATGGTCTAACGCAGTGGTTCTTACTCTGGGACCCACATTTGTCCACGGTCCTGAAGTGAAGACCCACTTTTATAGGATTAAGTTGAACTCTAACCTTTAAAGACTCAAATCTTTAACATAAATACACTGTTTTTATAGAGTAAAGTTCATCTCAGAGCACAAGAACTGAGGGCGACAACTACTGAAGTTACATATTCAGAAAATATCAAATTAAACAAAATAAAGATTTAAAAACAAACGTGTAATTTTCCTGCATTCAGGCCACATTAATAAGAAACTGAGGAGGACCACGACATAACGCGTGCCCTTCAAAATAAAAGACCTGTCAAACATCATTAAATATTTACTTTTTCGACCAGCTGTTTGCGACCCACCTTTGGGTCGGGACCCACCAGTTGAGAACCGCTGCTGTAGTGGTTTTAAGAGCCCAAGCCCAGAGTCAAAGGCTGTAGTCCTCGATGTGGTGGCGGCTGGTCCAAGTTCTGACCACAATATGACCCACAACGGGGTCAACGGGGTCAACCTCAGCTGCAAAGTAGGACAGTCCAAAAATGTTCAATGGGGTCAGAATGAAACACCGCTGTAGATTAAAATTATGATTATTAGGAAATAACGGACAAAAACAGACTGGTCTTTAGTCCAGGTTTCTGTTCCTTTAATATTTTACCTCTTTGAGTTTATTTTGGTTCCTTTAACAACGACTTACACCACAGCGGTTTTTAACCAAACAACAAAAGACTCCTCAGAGTTTGACGGCATGACGTTCGACTTTATAACCGTCCGTTCTCTCTGCAGTGAGGGACAGCAGTCGGGTGAAGCATTTCAAGATCTTCCAGACAGAGGAGAAGACTTTCCTGGTGGATCAGACCAGAGACTTCAGCTCCCTGATCGACCTGGTGGAGCATTACCACACCAGCGGTATGATCAGCTCATGCCGACTGGGAAACCCCTGCAAGAGGGTGGGTAGAGCCGCGCTCACATCCGTCCCTCTGCTTCTTCGTTTCTGTGTTCCTCTCGTTTCCAGGAAAAACAAGAAGTGCAGACGTTCGATTCAGCCGTGACGTCAGAGAAACGCTCTTTTCTGCAGCTCCGGTGGTGAATTTATTTTAAGTCCTGAACACATCCGCTGGAGGAAGTGGTCAGGGCTGAGGTGTCTGCACCTCTGAGCGGTTTATAAACCTGAGCCCTCACTGTTTGGGTGTTTGCTGGTTCAAGAGTCTGGATTTTTTTATGGACCAAACATTGAACAGATTTTTCTGAAATTAAAATGATTAAAAATTTCAGATACTCTTTTCTATATTCTGCACATTTCTATAAGTGTATTCTGTGTTTAAAAGAGGTTAAAATTCAGTGTGAAGATATCAACCATCTGAATCCTGCACAGAAGCACATAAAACTTAATTTCTAACCTCCAACGTGTATTTGTGTTTCAGAAAAAGCCTCCGACTAACGATTTAAATCATTTCACGGTGGACGACTGGGAGCTCCCCAAAGAGGAGTTCACTCTGGAGGAGGAGCTCGGCAGGGGATATTTCTCCGAGGTTTACAGAGGACGCTGGAAAAACATGATCCAAGTCGCCATCAAGATCCTGAAAAACGGTACGCCATCTTTAGTGAGGGTTGGATGTGAATGAGCGAAGCTTAAACGAGACTTAAACGAGATTTAATATAAATGAAAGAGTTTGGGCTTTAAACAGTTAATAAAGGAACACCTGTGAGCGGCTGACAGGTGAGAACCCGGCCATCCTCCTCCTCCTCAGATATTTTGAGAGGATTTGGCACAAATATAATAAAAAATAATTAGTATTAGTTGAAAACAGATTGTTTTCTATAACTTAACTGGATATTTTTGGGTTTTTCGACCACAAGTCACTTTAAAATCTCATCCTTTAATCCTGTCAGACTCTCACAGAGTTTCTGAAAACTTCCCCGTAGAGTTTCGTGTGTAAATGTGAAGATTTTCATCCTCACGTAACGTAAGGTAACAAAAATAGACATTTAAAACAAAGTAAGAGTTGAAGCCTGTTGGCGCCGTATTGGAAACGCGGACTCAACCTAGCGGGGGCGGGGCCTCGAAACTCCTCCCAAATTCCTGTCAGTCAAGTCACCTATGAGTCTGATTTGCTTGTTATCTCAACATCATCGACAGGAATGAATCCTGTCCTGTTCCTCTTTAGTTTTAATCGTGTCGTTCGTATGAATCTGATCGTCTGACTTTTCAATTCAAGGATGTGGAAAAAAACCCCACCAGACTGGACGCTCGCTGGTCATCGTTAAATACAGTTAGGGGGTCAAAAGGTCACTGGGTTAGTGGGTCATGGGGCGGGACTAAAGAGGCCGCAGGTGGAGGCGTGTTAGTCTCTCTATCGCGGCTCTGACTCGGTTCACTCAGTTTGGTTAAATGTCACAGTCGTCGCTAAAAACAGACACACGAAAGTCGGTCGCTGCTTTCGTACGCGGCGCTCTCAGCAGAGATATTCATGATGTGGGCTGACTCAGCACGCCATCGCAGTAAAATGATGCACAGCATAACAAACATGAGCGAACAGCTGATTACTGACATTAAACACCTTAAAAAAATGTCGCACAATGAGGATCTAGGTTTTGTTTTCTTCATTTTTTGCAATACTTTTAAATTTCCTAATTATGAAAGTGAGATTTGAACATCCTGAATGTACTTAAAACAAACTCTACTCTTTGAATTTTGCAGTTTTTAGTTTAAATATCAGGTACACTCTGCTTGTGTACAAACAAAAATGTCATGCATGCTCCTCAGACGTGTGTAAACCTAGTCTACACTTTCCATATATCAGCCTGCAGTGATGAGCTCATCTCACACCTCCTGCAGAAGGTTACTTACCGGTGTGTCTAAGATTACTGCTCAGGTCTCACGGCGTGAGCTGCGTGGTTAAATTTAGCAGGTATGACAGGATGTGCGAGAGAGAGAGAGAGAGAAAGAGAGAAAAGAGAGAGAGAGAGAGAGAGAGAGAGAGAGAGAGAAAAGAGTTCTTCTCTTAAGGTTTGAGAAAAATGTTCTTCTCTTAAAGGTCTAGACGTCCAAATGATCCGACTGTTAAATTTGTACATTTATAAATCGAAGTACAGCTGTAATACTCGTCCAAAAGTGGATTTTCGCACCTTTTGCCGAGCTTATTAATCATCTTGTCGTTGAAGCAGACTCTGTGTGGATGTGAACGTGCTGCAGCAGCTGTCCCACTCTTTTCTCCTGCCTTCCCTGCAGCGTTTGTGCCGAGCTCAGCTCAATCTGACCTTTCATTTCCCAAATGCCAGTAAATCTTTGAGAGCCTGACTCAGACGTTTTCTGCCCCAGTTCAGGAGTAACGGAGTGTTTGTTTGTTTTGTCCAGAAGGTTGGATGAAGTAGGATGAAAATGCAGGTGCTAACACGAGCGATGATGTCTGAGTGAAACCAGGTGTGGTTTGACAGGTGGAGACAGACAATGCGAGGAGATTTGTCACAGTCGTACTCATTAATACAGAAGATATGTGTCACACATATTTGTCAGGTGAAGCTTTGTTGTCGTGTTTGCTCAGAGTGAGGTGACAAACACGAACACTGCTGCAGCGTTGTGTAACAAATCCAGGTTTAGTTTCTCACGGAGCAGCCAGACGACGTTAATCTTTCCCTCTCTGTGAACGACTTCAGCGAAATGTTAATGTTTCATAGAGTTTAATATATGATCCATTCAGACTGTCAAAGTTTCAGAGACAACTGTAAAAGGGCAACTAGGCATCCCACAGCAGAGGTGTGTTTATTAATGTTTCAATCAGGTGAGAAATACAATCTCAAGTGGATTGAATTTGTGACGTCAGATTGTAAGGATGCCTAAGAATGGAGCTTTACTGGTTACAGATCTGGGTTACAGCTTCATCATAACACGAGTTTAACAAAGACTGGTCTGAGACTGTTCGAGTGTATTTAATCGTCCACTTTTCTAAACGTTCTGCTCGCATCTCGTTGACCTGAAGGAGAGTCCATGTCGGGTAATAACAAAGTAGAACATATTTTGGGAGCCTGAGTGACATTAAACACGGGGACAAGGTCCTCCATACTCATCCATCAAAGTGTCTCAAGACGTCTTAAGACGAAAGTTTTGAAGACGTCACCATTTCTTAAAACATCCCAGAGCAGAAAATAGGATTCACCCTCAAGACGTCTTCATGGTGAAGCTATCTTGTTTGGACTGGAGTATTATGATGATAATGTTATGGTAATGGTCTATTTATATTTGACTTTAAAATCTGCTTTAACATTAATAACTTGCGTTAATTATAATTTTTTGAAAGCCGTGCGTACTGGAATTAAAAACAAAAATACTTGAATTTAAAATGTAAAATACTGCTTCAGATGAATGAGGATATGGTAATTTAATGTGATTTTTATATATAACAAATGTTTTCAACAGAAGATAAACACAAACAGGAGGTGAAATTAAGTTTATACAAAATTTTAATGAATGAATTATTTAATTAAATGGATATCATAGAAAAATATCGAAGAATAATCCATTTTAAATCTATCTGAGGTATCTGAGTGACACCGCTCTAAAGAAAACAACCCTCTCTGTTGTTGACGGGTTCGTATGATGTTTTCATTCAGTGCTGTGTGACGGACACTAAAGTGAAGACAGGTGAGTCAGTTTGGAGGCGTGATGCTCAGCTGATAAACTCAAGTCCATCGGGTTGTTCTCTGAAGTCTGTGACTGACTTATCGTAAAGTCATCCATGACCTCCTCTTTGATAAGGAAGTAAACAACATCAGCTTTAAACAGACGTTTACATTAAAACCTTCGCCAGTTTATCATAGATGATTTTAGATGTCTAGATGTACTTTAATCTAGATTCTGCAGCTGTGCTCGGTCTGAATCTCAGCAAACATTCATGTAAAAGCAGAGGAGGATTTCAGCCCACAGATCACCTTTATCAGATCCCTTTTCTTGCTCTTCTTGTGAAGAGATTGCACAAGCAGCTGTGGAGATATGTCCCTGACCCGTGTTTGTTCCTGCTGAAAAGGTCATGTGTCTGACGCTGAGTTTCACATATATTTTCTGCAGCTAACTATTTGACAGCTCTGGATATTTGATGCTTTTCTTTAAAAGTTTTGCACAAAACTCGGACAGCCAGAGAAGTTTCTGCCTTTTCTCACGGAGCTGCAACTTTTTTTACAGCAGCCAACATTTATATCTTTATTTTTCTTTCACTTAAAGCTCCTCTGAGAAGTTTTCTACTGTTATTAAATCCACTGAAAGAGCATCAGCAACAAGACTGAAGATTTTTATAATATCATTTTTAAAACTGAGTAATAGAGCGAGGGGGGAGGTGTATAGAAGTAAATCTGCGCCATCTGATGTTGAAAAAATAAATGTACAATTGTTTCATTTTCAAGGTTACAAAATACTCAAGAGTCTGAGATATCAGTTCTATATTTTTTGAGAAAGTGGGAAATTTGATAGATTAAGTGAATTAATTGAAAATGTATGGAAGTAAATCTGTGCCATCTGATTTTGAATTTGAATTTGAATTTCTAAAGCTGAATTTTTTTGCATCAAAATCAGACTTTGAATTGCAAAATCATCGAATTTCAAGCTCGCATTTTTATTTCTAACACTTCTTTTTTTTCACAGTGATGAAATAAATTCAGTTTAAAAAAATGGTCTCTATAAATATTTGTGTAGTAAAAATACAACTTAAAAAAAAAAGAAAAAATAAATTCCCCTGGTTATCCGGATGTTGAGTCAGTCTCTTTTACACTGAATTTTTTGTATGTTGAATTTTTTGAGAGTTTTTTTTAGTTGATTTTTTACTAAACAAATATTTCGAGGGACAATTATTTTTTTTTTACATTGAATTTATTTCATCATCGTGAGGAAAGTTAGTGTCAGAAATAAAAATTAGTGCCTGAAATCTGATAGTTTTGAAATTCAAAGTCTGATTTTGATGCAAAAAAAAATTCAGCTTTAGAAATTTAAATCCAAATTCAGATGGCACAGATTTACTTCCATATAGGTGCCCTTTTTTTTTTTACAATTTCCACATCAAACATTTACAATAAACTAAAAATGATGAATGAATATTCACTTATTAAATATTTGAAGTGTACTCCTGAAACATCACGATCAGAGCTTGGACTGAAAAATGCGAGTCGTCTCAGGGTCATCCTGAATCTGATGACCTCGGCTGACCTGATTGATTGACTCTGGAGTCTTTGACCTTCAACACCATCTTATTAACCCTTGACTTTTATTCCGGTCTCTCTCTCTCTCGCTTTTTTCACGGTACGTGATGTTTGTTAATTGGTGAAGATTTCAAGATTTCCACTCTGTTCCTGTTTTCGTCTCTCTTCCTCTTTCATCGATTTCTCTCTCTCTGTTTTCCTTCCCTTAAATTCTGCCTCTTCCTCTTTCTCTCTTTCCAGACTCGGTGCTCAGCCACAAGGAGTTCCAGCGGGAAGTCCAGATCCTGAAGGGTCTCCGCCATCGTCACCTCATCTCTCTGTTTGCTGTGTGCACGTCCTCCACGCCGTACTACATCATCACCGAGCTGATGGAGAAAGGCAGCCTGCTCAACTTCCTGAGAGGTAAACCTCAGCCTTCCTCCTTCACAGCTGAACATGACTTTAGTGTCAACAAACATGGTGGACGGCGTGCAGATCTTCTTCGACATGTGCGTTCAGTTTTTCAGACGTCCGTCTGAATTCTAACCCTCATGTTTACTATTGTTGCCATGGTTGCATATGTTGAGCTTCCTCCTTCGAGTAGGGGCTGTCTGCAGAGCAGGAGGGGAAATTTGTTTTGTAGGATGGTAGTAGAAGGTCCCGCCTCCTTCCCCTCTGATTGGCTAGAAGTGCTGGAATCTGATTGGTTATTCCTTATTGGCTGTGAAACGTCATCGTCTGTTTGGTTAGTGTTAGGAGATTCAGAAGTGCGATAATGTTCTGTAACGTTCTGTTCGATGTTCAGAGACGACATCCCTTGTTTGGCTTTAGCGTGTGATGACGGTTCCAGCTTTTTTAGCCAATCAGAGGCGAAGGAGGGCGGGACCTTCCCCTTCATCCTAGCCAAGCAAATCCTGAATCTAGACGGTTGAAATTAGGTCTAAAAAAAAGTAGATGTCTAACAGCCGTCTGTTGCTCAGTGGGTGGGCCGAGTCCCAAGAACTGACTTTTTTGGTCTTGGTTTTCTGATTTTTTCCCCCTGTTTAGAGAAAGAGGGGCAGGCCCTAGACATGATGTCTCTCATCGACATGAGCGCCCAGGTGGCTGATGGGATGTCGTACCTGGAGGAGCAGAACAGCATCCACAGAGATCTCGCAGCTCGAAACGTCCTGGTGGGAGAGGGCAACATCTGTAAAGTGGCGGACTTCGGACTGGCACGAGTGATCAAGGTAGGAAACAGAAATGAAGGAAGGGTTCGAAAGTCTGTGTTGAAATCAGAGTGAAACTAAAGTCTCTCTTCCAGGAGCCGTTTTACATCTCCGACGATAAGAAGATCCCCTATAAGTGGAGCGCTCCTGAGGCCATCAGCCATGGAAAGTTCTCCATCAAGTCAGACGTCTGGTCGTTCGGTGTCTTGCTGTATGAGATCACGACATACGGAAGTATTCCTTACCCAGGTCGGTGCAGTGACCATGTTTATTTTTCTAATAAAAATGGATAAAGTACTGAGTTTAAATGATCATTTTTAATGAAATATCAAACTGGAGTCTTTGTTTGTGATCATTGATAGTTTAAGGTCGGGTAAATCAGTCAATAGTTATTAGTTATTGATGACATTTGGTAATATATCGATATCTCTGTGTTCTCTTATGTCTGTGTCGTCAACATTTGAACATTTTTGAGCGGTCCGCTCTTTCTGACTGTAAACAAAGCCGTTCTCCACCTCCTCTAACCTGATTGGTTGTGAGGCAGACGCTGCTCCCCCGTGTCGTTCAGGAGCCCAAACAAAGTTAGCGTGCTACAATATCGGACAGTAGAAACCAACCAGAAAGTTCGGAAAATTGTCTGAATCCTCCTTTGGCCACGACTGCCGACACAAGCAAGAAAACAAAGTAAATACCGGAGACTCTGGAGGAATAACGGGCGCTTAAAACGGAGGAAGACCGGACAAGAGCTAAAAAGCCGGGTCAACATAAACCATGGGGGACGCTTGGGGATCTTGGTGACCCTGTAACCTTTCTGCTGGACAGGTAAACCGCTTTAACAAAGTAAGACAAGTGTCTGTAACAGAAGTGTTTCTTGTCAAACGGACCTGCTGTAGCGTGTTGTAGCGCCATCGCTAAACTGTCCTCCCTCGGGTCCTGGACTATGTCACTTTATCCTCGTTGTAGAAGAATCTGAAGTATGTGGGCGGGGCTTGAGGGGAGGAGCTGAGGGGAAAACTGGTTGAGACGGTGAAGAGTTCTTGCTAAAACTGTCACTTGCTCGGATCCAGATCCTGCTTACCCCACCTTTAAGGTATAAATGCTTAAATCTGGTCATCAGAAAACAGAAAATCGTCCGGCTTCTTCACAGCTGTGGTTCTTTCTCAGGTCGTATTTTGGGCACAATTGAACATTCAGAGAAAAATATAAGGTTAAAAACTGAAATGAAATCATGTACTGTTGTGTTTTGTTGATGTGAACTGAGGAATGCAAAGTTGTAGTCACAAGAGAAACTCTGAATCAGGGTTGTTATAAGATAAGAGGACAAACTTCCTGGATAATCAAAGCTGCTGGACTAAGTCCACAACAACAACAGGTCCAAAGAGCGTGACTGTGAGGACGGAAATAAAAAACTCTCTTTGTTAAACTCACACCTCTCTGGTTATCAAGAACTGAAAATCATCTACTGTTATGCCTTTGTTGCCAAGCAACAATACGTGCAGCAGCAGCAGTTAGTGTTCTTTATTAAAGCTGTTTTCTAATCACATAAAAGTAGAAACCCACAGCTGTACTCTCAGGTATCAGAGTGAGCACAAATATTTATCTCTCTCTTTTCTTTTCTTTGAATATTCAGCCTACTCCAACGAGGAAACGTACATTCAGGTGACCGGCGGCTACAGGATGCCGATTCCGCCCAAATGTCCAGAATTCATCTACCAGCTCATGCTCAAATGTTGGAGCGCCAACCCCGACGACAGGCCGAGCTTCAGGATTGTGAAGAGCGAGCTGGACAACTCCTACGAGCTGGAGTCCCAAACATAGGAGCCTTTGCAGTACAGACTTATGGCCACAGGGGGGCAGCAAAGAGAGACAGTCGACAGCTGATTCAACATCCACAAAGACTTGTAGTGTGTGTGTTTACAGAGTCCGAACCTGCTCAGTGAGACTGTGAAGGTTTATATAAAACGCTGTGATGGTGATTTCATCATTTAAAGGTTCAGAGAGTTCAGAGAAATCTCTGTTAAAGGGACGAGGATCATCTCTGAAACTGCGGGGCTGTAATCTTCGGGGCCTCAGACGTTCCTGCATAAAAGCAGACATGACTCTGTAGTGGGAATCGCTGCATCAGCACTTTGTAACTGCATCCAGAACTGCAGGTTAAAGCTGAAACACAACATGATAGAGACTTACCGGTGAGTTCTCCCGTGTCAGACGGACCGAGGTGAAGTGGAATCCTGTCTGATGGTCGGATAAATCAAAACTTGACACTCTGGAAACCATGGAAACGGCGTCCCCGGTTTTTAAACTCAGGGCAAACAGCGACATCGCACCTAATCAACTCAGCTATGCCCGTAGTCATGTAAACCGGTGCGTGGCTCTGCTGCGATATCTTACAGGTTTATTTATGCAAACTGAGCATTTTTAACAGATTCCTCGGCTTTTGGAGCCACTCTCAGTTTATTTACTCCAAAATCACAGTCTTTGTCTTTTATATGTTACCATAACAACGTGGAAAGATGAACGGGCTGCAGTTTTACAGTCCTTTTTACCACTCAGATGGCCTCTATGCAACACATTACATTCATGCATTCACACTATTCACACGCTGATGACAGAAAAGTCGAGGTTTAATCACTCTGCGGCTATGCAGGGAGACGTTTGGTAAGTCGAATCAAACCACCAAAACTTCTGAGTGAGCGATGTTCAACCCTACGACTTCACCTCAGCATTGATTTTTAGGCATTTTAAACACCCACTTTAATCCAAATCAGTTGTTTTGTGCCATAGAAGTATTTAAGTTTGGTACCTTGCTCCAAATACTGCCCTACAATATGTGGAGGATACATGAGCAACAATCAGAGGCCTTATAATGTTTTATTACACTTTATAATAACACGTGTTGATGGAATCTGTGACCACCAGGGGGCAGCAGAGTCACAGTAAATAAAAAGCAGAACTCCTCTTTCACAGATTTGAGGCCCAAAACAACCACATCTCCTTCTTTTGAACACTTTACTTTAAATTCATTGGTTAATTGTAAATAAATATGTAACTCAGTTTGTCTCATCCACTCACTCTTGCTTGTAAAGTGCTTAAAAAACTGTAACAAAGACATAAATATATCTGTTGATGCAAAGACGGCGTTGTGAAAGGAGTCCTGTGTTTGAACAGATTATGATTTTGTCCCTTTTCCTGTAAGTGCTGTCGGCGTCTGTTCCTGATGAAATTCCAGGTAAGACCGTGTTGTGCAGAAATCTGTAAATGATACACCTCAAAAACAGCGTGCATTTCTGTCCTATTTTCAACACCTGATGCCTTATCAACGCTCTCGATTCACCCAAACAAGAGTAAGGAAAGTGCTGAACGTGACGTGACCTTTCCCATAACTCTTATCGCTGTATATGTGTGTGTGTGTGTGTACTTTATATACGTGTTTTCCATAGGTATCTGGGTGCTACATTCCTCCTGTAGGCTGCAGAAGTTAACTGGGTCACTAACACTTGACCTCTAAATTCTACGTGTCAAATACAAACTGTGATATAATAATAATAATAATAATAATACATTTTATTTGAAAGCGCCCTTCAAAGCACCCAGGGTCACTGTACAATGTTAAAAACAAGATAATCGCAATAAGACAATAAATAAAACAATAAGCATTTTAAACATATAAATGATAAAATGGAGGTGGTTATCAGACTAATAACAGCTGCCTTATGTAGCTTTATAACAGGGTATGTGCAGGAATCTTAAAGTTTAATTTCAAAACCTTTTCAAGACTTTTTTTTGAAAATTTTTAAGAACTCATCACCACTTAAAGCTGTTTCTTCCACTTACCGCTGTAAAGTCTTAATGGTTAATATAGTCATAGATTAAATGTTTATGATTCAAACGTTTATTTTTCCTTCACCGGATATCCGCTTGTCACGTGACTCAGCGCCACGGCCACGCCCACCGAGGGTATAAGTAACCCCCGCTGCTGGGTTCGTCCAGGTGTGCAAACGGGAACAACGACAGAGGAAAGCGTGTCTAAATTTTTATCAAAATACTGTAATATAGAAGAAGTGAGAGCGACATAAAATAAGGACAACCTTTTCTGAATCACGGCGCATCGTGACTGTTGAGGTGAGTGACAGAGAAGCGAACAGAAACACGAACACGCTGAGTGGATAATGCTAATGCTAACAGGCTAACCGCGCTCGTGTTTTTAGCCTGGTATGCTAGTGAACAGGTAACGCCATAGATACATAAAGGCTAGATGGCTTACGCACGCTGGCAGCCAATGGAGACGGACGTTCGCGAATGGCGGCCATCTTGCTAAGGGCAGCTCGCCCACTCCTAACATTCCCGTCTAAGGTTCATGTTACATTTAAATAACCATATATTGATTAATTTCAAACCGATTTTCGAACAGTTTGGTTTGTAACAAACGTCAGAATTTTAGTTATGTCCCTGCATACTCAAGAATAATTTTAACCATAACCATATTCATATATAAACATTAAACATATAGGTAGAGCAGTAGCTATGTTTTTCAACTCAAACTCTGATTTTTTTTCAATTTTTTGTTTTATTTGTTGTACTTTCTGGTACAGGTGCCCACAGTTGGACTAGACATACTGGAAGAGGAAGAGGAGATCATCAAACAGAGCAGCGAATACTCTGAGATGATCTTTTTAATTACTTCCTATGCTATATATGAGGCACGACTTAAAGAAAACGTAAAAGTCAAAACATCAGGGCTACAAGCTAAAAGTCCCAGGCACTCATATTTTCTTATGATAATAAATGTCAAATGATGTTTGATAAAAATTACATAGTATAGTATAATAGAATTTCATATTTAAGTGGGATAAAAAAATCTTATTTTTGTATTAAAAAAAACAAATTTTATAATGAAAAAAAATGTCATAGTAAAGTATGTTAAAAATTCCATATTGAGGCGTGAAAAAAATGACCAAACACAGCTGGAGGTTCAATCTTTCATTCATAGGTTTTCAAAGACATCTGCCAGCTTCTCTGATAAGTGCAAACAGATCTTAAGCACAAATTTATTACACCTCTCATTAATGTTACTGTTTGAAAAGACATCAGGGTAAAAAAAAAAACAACTTGTTGATTGGTGAAGTAGCCTGAGAGCTTCTCTGAGCTCTCACCACAGTCCAGTTTGACATCCTCAGCACAGATTTCTGTCTGTTGTTGGATTGAATTGTTTTTCTTCTTTTCTTTCAGGACTCATCGCCGGCGGATCCTGGAGTCGGGGGGCGCCTCCTCCACCCCCCAAACCTCTTCCTCTTGGGTCGAAAGTTTATCTGCTTTATGATGTTGAGTTTTGTTCCTGGTTGAAGTGGTAATAAAGTTTAGAGTCTGAATTTATTATTTCACCTTTTCACTGAGTGTTTAGAGACTTAAGTCACCATTAAAGTGAAGATATGAGACACTTAAATCATTAACTTAAAAGCGTTTAGGTATCATTAGTCAGCAGTTAATTTAAAATACTTCAGATTAGTTCAGGGAGGGAGGGAGTCGCCTCGCCTCTAACATTCTAGTCCCTGATGGTGGTCTCCTTCCGCTTTCCTTATATTTTAAACACCCACTTTAATCCAAATCATTTGTTTTGTGCCATTGAAATGTTTAAGTTCAGTACCTAGATCCAAATACTGCCCTATAATATGTGGAGGATACATGAACAACAGTCAGAGGCCTCCTTCGGGGTGTTTTCCAGAGCTTTGACAACAAAGGAGTCTGATCCTTTTGTAAACCTAGACCTTAACCTGTCTCTTTGGCTCAGAGGGGAAAAAAGACAGACTCCTGAGGTTGAAGGTTCGAACCCTTATCCAGGGTGAGGTGAATTTAAAATCTAGGAGTTAAAGTACGAAGATAAAAGCGGGCGTATCTCATGCCCTAGTGTGGATGGTATCTAATGGCGCCGCACGGTAGTCTACTGGCACCCAATGGGTGCTGGTTTGATACCAGCTCGTTGCTGGAGAGCATTAGCGATGATCAGATTATCATCATTACACGTAATGATGATTATTATTGTTTATCATCATCAGAAGTGATGAATAGTACTTCTTCTTGCTAGAGAAGAATTTTCTACTTGTTACAAGTAGTATTCTCTACTTATTATCATCATTTCATCACTTTAAACTTCCTGTCCCGAGTGGGTATCGAACCGGGGTACCCACATTGGGTGCCGGTAGACTACCGCACTGCGCTACGAGATACCATCCACACTTGGACATTAGCTCCGCGCGCGTTTATCTTCGTACTTCGGCTCCTGGACTTCAAAATTCAACGAGGCCTCCTAGATAAGGTTCTTAAATAAGTCTTGTTCTCCTCTGAGCCATGTGGACACAGAGGAGGATTCTGTTTGTTTCCTATTTCACTGTCCTTTCTAGACACTAGACTTTTAAAATTGACCTCACCCTGGACAAGGTTTGAACCCACGACCTGAGGAACCCCAGCCAGGTTTCTTATCCACTAAGCCATGTGGACAGACAAGAAAAACTCCAACCCTCTCTGAACTAAATTAAAGTATTTTAAATTAACTGCTGACCTAAGTGTCTAAATCTTCAGTTTAATGGTGACTTAAGTCTCTAAACACTCAGTGAAAAGGTGAAATAATAAATTCAGACTATAAATTTTATTACCTCTTCAACCAGAAACAAAACTCAACATCGTCAAGATGATGAACTTCAACCTAAGGGGGCAAAGGAAGAGGGGCATTGAAAAGGAAGATGGGGAGGGTCTGATTAAAATAATGAGACAGGGTCACTGTGTGTTTGTGTTTTTTTATTTAAAAACTTGTGTCAAAGTATAGTATGTTAAAAATTTCACATTTTGGAGTGAAAAAAAAAATCATACTTTAGGGTTAAAAATGTCATAGTATAGTATGATAAAAATGCCACTGTATATTGTGTATGAAATATAATATTTTCGTCTGAAAAAATGTTTCACGTTTTAGTCCCAAAAAACGACATAGTATACTATGACCAAAATTTCAGATTTCAGGGTGAAATAAAATTTCTGATTTAAGGGTGAAAAAACATGCCAAAGTATAGTCTGATCAAAATGTAACAGTATAGGATGTTAAAAATGTAATATTTTAGCACAAATTAAAAAAAAGAAATTTTCTCCAAAAAAAAAAAAACGACATAGTATACTATGACCAAAATTTCAGATTTTGGCATGAAATTAAATTTCTGATTTAAGAATGAAAAAACATGCCATAGTGTAGTCTAATCAAAATGCAATAGTATAGGATGTTAAAAATGTCATATTTAAGCTGTAAGAAAAAAATTATATTTCAGCCCTGAAAAAAAAACGACATAGTATAGTATGACCAAAATTTCAGATTTTGGCATGAAATTAAATTTCTGATTTAAGAATGAAAAAACATGCCATAGTATAGTCTGATCCAATTGACATAGAATAGGATGTTAAAAATGTTATATTTAAGCTGTAAGAAAAAAAATATATTTAAGCCCTGAAAAATCACGACATAGTATACTATGACCAAAATTTCAGATTTTAGGGTGAAAAAAAAATTCTGATTTAAGGATGAAAAAACATGCCATAGTATAGTCTAATCAAAATGTAATAGTATAGGATGTTAAAAATGTCATATTTAAGCTGTAAGAAAAAAATTATATTTAAGCCCTGAAAAATCACGACATAGTATACTATGACCAAAATGTCAGATTTTTGCATGAAATTAAATTTCTGATTTAAGAATGAAAAAACATGCCATAGTATAGTCTAATCAAAATGTAATAGTATAGGATGTTAAAAATGTCATATTTAAGCTGTAAGAAAAAAATTATATTTAAGCCCTGAAAAAAAACGACATAGTATAGTATGACCAAAATGTCAGATTTTAGAGTGAAAAAAAAATTCTGATTTAAGGATGAAAAAACATGCCATAGCATAGTCTAATCAAAATGCAATAGTATAGGATGTTAAAAATGTCATATTTAAGCTGTAAGAAAAAAATAAAAATTAAGCCCTGAAAAAAAAACGACATAGTATACTATGACCAAAATTTCAGATTTTGGCATGAAATTAAATTTCTGATTAAAAGATGAAAAAACATAGCATAGTGTAGTCTGATCAAAATGACATAGAATAGGATGTTAAAAATGTCATATTTAAGCTGTAAGAAAAAAATCAAAATTAAGCGCCTGAAAAAAAACGACATAGTATACTATGACCAAAATTTCAGATTTTGGCATGAAATTAAATTTCTGATTTAAGAATGAAAAAACATGCCATAGTATAGTCTAATCAAAATGTAATAGTATAGGATGTTAAAAATGTCATATTTAAGCTGTAAGAAAAAAATTATATTAAAGCCCTGAAAAAAAACGACATAGTATAGTATGACCAAAATTTCAGATTTTGGCATGAAATTAAATTTCTGATTTAAGAATGAAAAAACATGCCATAGTATAGTCTGATCAAAATTGACATAGAATAGGATGTTAAAAATGTTATATTTAAGCTGTAAGAAAAAAATTATATTTAAGCCCTGAAAAATCACGACATAGTATACTATGACCAAAATTTCAGATTTTAGGGTGAAAAAAAAATTCTGATTTAAGGATGAAAAAACATGCCATAGTATAGTCTAATCAAAATGTAATAGTATAGGATGTTAAAAATGTCATATTTAAGCTGTAAGAAAAAAATTATATTTAAGCCCTGAAAAAAAAAAACGACATAGTATAGTATGACCAAAATTTCAGATTTTGGCATGAAATTAAATTTCTGATTTAAGAATGAAAAAACATGCCATAGTATAGTCTGATCCAATTGACATAGAATAGGATGTTAAAAATGTTATATTTAAGCTGTAAGAAAAAAATTATATTTAAGCCCTGAAAAATCACGACATAGTATACTATGACCAAAATTTCAGATTTTAGGGTGAAAAAAAAATTCTGATTTAAGGATGAAAAAACATGCCATAGTATAATCAAAATGTAATAGTATAGGATGTTAACAATGTCATATTTAAGCTGTAAGAAAAAAATTATATTTAAGCCCTGAAAAAAAACGACATAGTATACTATGACCAAAATTTCAGATTTTAGGGTGAAAAAAAAAATCTGATTTAAGGATGAAAAAACATGCCATAGCATAGTCTAATCAAAAAGCAATAGTATAGGATGTTAAAAATGTCATATTTAAGCTGTAAGAAAAAAATTATATTTAGGCCTTAAAAAAAAACGACATAGTATACTATGACCAAAATGTCAGATTTTGGCATGAAATTAAATTTCTGATTTAAGAATGAAAAAACATGCCACAGTATAGTCTAATCAAAATGCAATAGTATAGGATGTTAAAAATGTCATATTTAAGCTGTAAGAAAAAAATAAAAATTAAGCCCTGAAAAAAAAAAGACATAGTATACTATGACCAAAATTTCAGATTTTGGCATGAAATTAAATTTCTGATTTAAGAATGAAAAAACATGCCATAGTATAGTCTGATCCAATTGACATAGAATAGGATGTTAAAAATGTTATATTTAAGCTGTAAGAAAAAAATTATATTTAAGCCCTGAAAAATCACGACATAGTATACTATGACCAAAATTTCAGATTTTAGGGTGAAAAAAAAATTCTGATTTAAGGATGAAAAAACATGCCATAGTATAGTCTAATCAAAATGTAATAGTATAGGATGTTAAAAATGTCATATTTAAGCTGTAAGAAAAAAATTATATTTAAGCCCTGAAAAAAAAAAAGGACATAGTATAGTATGACCAAAATTTCAGATTTTAGGGTGAAAAAAAAATTCTTATTTAAGGATGAAAAAACATGCCATAGTATAGTCTGATCAAAATGACATAGAATAGGATGTAAAAAATGTTATATTAAAGCTGTAAGAAAAAAATATATTTAGGCCTTAAAAAAAAACGACATAGTATACTATGACCAAAATGTCAGATTTTAGGGTGAAAAAAAAATTCTTATTTAAGGATGAAAAAACATGCCATAGTATAGTCTGATCAAAATGACATAGAATATAGGATGTTAAAAATGTCATATTTAAGCTGTAAGAAAAAAATTATATTTAAGCCCTAAAAAAAAACGACATAGTATACTATGACCAAAATTTCAGATTTTAGGGTGAAAAAAAAATTCTGATTTAAGGATGAAAAAACATGCCATAGTATAGTCTGATCAAAAATGCAATAGTATAGGATGTAAAAAATGTTCATATTTAAGCTGTAAGAAAAAAATTATATTTAGGCCTTAAAAAAAAACGACATAGTATACTATGACCAAAATGTCAGATTTTGGCATGAAATTAAATTTCTGATTTAAGAATGAAAAAACATGCCACAGTATAGTCTAATCAAAATGCAATAGTATAGGATGTTAAAAATGTCATATTTAAGCTGTAAGAAAAAAATAAAAATTAAGCCCTGAAAAAAAAAAGACATAGTATACTATGACCAAAATTTCAGATTTTGGCATGAAATTAAATTTCTGATTTAAGAATGAAAAAACATGCCATAGTATAGTCTAATCAAAATGTAATAGTATAGGATGTTAAAAATGTCATATTTAAGCTGTAAGAAAAAAATTATATTTAAGCCATGAAAAAAAAACGACATAGTATACTATGACCAAAATTTCAGATTTTAGGCATGAAAATAAATTTCTGATTTAAGGATGAAAAAACATGCCATAGTATAGTCTAATCAAAATGTAATAGTATAGGATGTTAAAAATGTCATATTTAAGCTGTAAGAAAAAAATTATATTTAAGCCCTGAAAAAAAAAAAGGACATAGTATAGTATGACCAAAATTTCAGATTTTAGGGTGAAAAAAAAATTCTTATTTAAGGATGAAAAAACATGCCATAGTATAGTCTGATCAAAATGACATAGAATAGGATGTAAAAAATGTTATATTAAAGCTGTAAGAAAAAAATTATATTTAGGCCTTAAAAAAAAACGACATAGTATACTATGACCAAAATGTCAGATTTTAGGGTGAAAAAAAAATTCTGATTTAAGGATGAAAAAACATGCCATAGCATAGTCTAATCAAAATGCAATAGTATAGGATGTTAAAAATGTCATATTTAAGCTGTAAGAAAAAAATAAAAATTAAGCCCTGAAAAAAAACGACATAGTATAGTATGACCAAAATTTCAGATTTTAGGGTGAAAAAAAATTCTGATTTAAGGATGAAAAAACATGCCATAGTATAGTCTAATCAAAATGTAATAGTATAGGATGTTAAAAATGTCATATTTAAGCTGTAAGAAAAAAATAAAAATTAAGCCCTGAAAAAAAACGACATAGTATACTATGACCAAAATTTCAGATTTTGGCATGAAATTAAATTTCTGATTTAAGAATGAAAAAACATGCCATAGTATAGTCTGATCCAATTGACATAGAATAGGATGTTAAAAATGTTATATTTAAGCTGTAAGAAAAAAATTATATTTAAGCCCTGAAAAAAAACGACATAGTATACTATGACCAAAATTTCAGATTTTAGGGTGAAAAAAAAATTCTGATTTAAGGA